AAATTTAGACAACTGCGCACGATAATTGATCTAACACTTAAATCCGTAGAAATGCCAACGACAAACATATGCGTTACAGAATTGAGCTTTATATATTAGATTGGAAGATGACGCCATTAGTTTTATGTTTTTTCCTTCGTGTGACGTCATTGTTTTTTACGTTCTTGTCACGACAATAAACGCTTTAGCTAGAAATCTGATTTACATTCGAATATGCCTTTATTTTTATTTTCCTTCTTTGAATAAAATGTAGTTTATACATTTATACCTTCCATCGGTGCGCGGACCTTTGACCACAGGTGCTTTGACTATAGGGGGTTTGACCATAGGGGCTTTGTCCACAGCGAGGCTTTTACCATAGGGGGTTTGATCATATGGGGTTTGACCATGGGGGGTTCGACCACAGGTGTTTTCTCAGCAGAGAGTCTTTGATCACAGGTGTTTTGTCCACAAAGGGTCTTTGATCACAGGTGGTGTCAAATTCTGTCCATATATGGTAAGGATTTATTTTAAAAGTTGCTAAATTATATTTTAAATTCCGACAGGATGTAATAATATGTTAAATCGTCATGTATAAATACAAGTAATCTAAACTACTCTATGTCAAAACCATGGAGAATCTTGGAGAGTATAGCACAGGGGTCGGCAACCTTTTGAGACGAAAGAGCCAAAAGTTACAATTTACAACATTACCCGGTTTTTAAAGAGCCACTAATATTTTTATGTCAATAGTATATTTGTTTAGTATATATATAATCATAAACAAATATCATAATATATATATATATATATATATATATATATATATATATATATATATATATATATATATATATATATATATATATAGTTATATAATTTAAAATAAATAGCTTTGAATATATGAGATATATGAGATACTCTCATTTGAATTTGTGTTGAGAGGATCTACTATGAACGTCCGAGTACTTGCATTTGTTTTGAATTGCTCGAATCTCTCAGTGAAAATACCCTTCAGTTTGTTTATATTAATGCTTAAGTGATTGAATAGAAGCATTGGTTTCATAACGATATTTTTTTTAGTAATTTACCGCTCATCATGTATTCAGCAAAAAAAATTTTTTTCGAAACAAACCACATTTTCAAGCAGGACATAGGCTAGATTTTCCTTTCAGTTTTGCACTTAGCTGGTTTAGTTTCTTTGTGAAGGTAAATGTTTCAATTCGGAATGGACAGTGTAATAGGAAGTACACTGAGATAGAGAGTAACTAAATATTCTAATATAATAGTGAATGCTTATTGTTTATAACAATTGTTATGTCGTTTATTACAGAGTATTGCAGACTAATATTCTTACGAGTTTTGGAAATAAAATAAAATAATTATTAATATTTGTGCATGGAACTGAAGAGCCGCAACTTGACATCATAAGAGCCGCATGCGGCTCGCGAGCCGCAGGTTGCCGACCCCTGGTATAGCACGTCAAAAAAAGGTAAAATAACTTTGTTGTATCGTGGCCATGAATTTTGGTTTCACAGAGAACGCCAGGACGGGTCACGCGTTTGGTTTGTCAAAACGAGCTGTTGGAGAAAGGAAAAGAAGACTGGAGGATACTCTTGCTACGCCAGCAGTAACACAAACGACAGTCGCTTCAACTTCTTTCACTATTTTGTTGGCATGTTTTTTATCATTTTTGTCCTTTATATATGCTATGCATTTTTAAGTACATCTACATTATTTATTTGTGAAACTTGTTATAAGTCGCATTATTTGTGTTCCATTTATATTTTAAATAAATCTATGAGGCCTAGCACCAGCCTTTATGTGTAGACTGAAATATCGTTCTTGACCATTTTACTTTCTCGTATGCACGAAGGATAGAGAAAGTCTTGTAATCGTGCAAAAAAAAATCGTTTTACACCTCCCTGAGTCGGAAAAACAGTTTTGCAATCATGTCCGTATGTCTGTGTGTGTGTGTGTCTGTAAACACGATAACTTGAGTACCGTTACCGCTAGGTTGATGAAATTTCATATATATGTATTTTATCAAAATTGTAGATCCGTATCAACTTTTGAGCGATTCCCGATAACCGGAAGTGGTACTTTTTCTACTTTGAATTTTTCAAAGGCCTATAATTTGAGTACTATTTCAGATAGATAAATGAAATTTCAAATGTAAGTAAAAGATCTAATTCTCTACCTTCTGTCATATTTTGAGTAATTTCCGTTATCCGGAAGTAGTAATTTACGCTTTCTAAAAAAGCGATTTCTCAAAAAGCTAATGTAAATTTATAAAGTACTAATAATATTGCGCACTAGTATGCACATTTTATTTGGCGTTCACTTGGCGTGCAATTATTTTTTTCTACGAGATTTTATTCTATTTCAAAAAGTTTAAGTATTTAAAATGGATTAAAAATCATAATTATATCCCGAGTTCCCATCCGCTGTTGTTTTATATAAGAATATTCGAGAAAACTTAGGGGAGATCACTCCCGGTTTATTTTAATACATGTTAATTTCTATTAACGTACTCTAAGGAAACATGTATAAAATCGTATTAATTGTATCTTAAATTTAAATCAAATTACAGTTTATAATTTATATTTTAAAATCTATATATCATGGCCCAACTGTGGTCAAAACCTCCTATGGTCAAAGCTCCGCTGTGGTTAAACCACTTATGGTCATAGCACCTGTGGTCAAAGCACCTAGGACCCGTCCACCATATTATTTTCAACAAAAGTCCGTATCTTTAAGTTCTCCATATATCGCTGAAAAGGCTGACGACGTTGCCAAAAATATTGCGGACAGAGAGAGAATCGCGCACATGGGCGTTTATATATTAGGATTAATATATTATATTAAATAGGCTGGAATTTATAACGAACCGTAAACTTTTTTGTTTTTTTTTAAATTAATTTTTCTTTTATATTTAATCAATAACCCTAGCAATGTTTGTATAGGTGCCGGTGTTTGATTTTTTGAAAGGTGTCCCTTTATTTAGGGGATCCAAAAATTGTCCTATTTATTATTGATAAGCTGCAGTATAATGTATGTCAACAAAATTGAATTGAAGTATATTATAATAAACCTACCATTTTCTGACTTTCAAGCAAACCGTACAGTTAAGTATTCAATAGATAGAATATATTGTTTTAACAAGCTTACATAGATTATATAAAAGTTCTATTATAGTTATTATGTAATGAAATTTAGATCTTTTTATTGTGTTTTTCAAGCATGTCTTAGTTACACTTGGTTAATTTAGCTATTTAAGTGGAAGTTATTTCCCTTGAATAAAATTTTGGTGTTTGGATTTTCAAATAAGAAATAATTCGTTGCTTAACTTTACATTCATTTCAAATTCCTGCACCGTAGATTGACCGCTTAAATATAAATACAAATTTAAGTTATTATTTGCTATTGTAAAAATTATATAGATCTAGACAGGGGCGTAGCGAGATAGGAGGGCGGGGGTGCGGACCGCACCGGGTGACACCATTTAGGTGGGTGACACCAAGGCAAAAAATAGCAAAATATATAGAGAAAAACATGAGGGGGGGGGGGTCGCAAATCGAAAATTTGGGGGGGGGCTGCAAATCGAAAATTTGAAGGGGGGGGGTGCAAATCAAATGTTTGAGGGGGGGGTGCACATCGAAAACTTGAGGGGGTGGGTGCAAATCGAAAGTTTGAGGGGGGGGGGGGGGGAATGCGAATCGAAAATTTGAAAGTTTGTCCCAGGGAAGGGCCGCTACGCCTCTGGGGGGTGACACCATTAAGTGCCGCATCGGGTGACACCCGACCTCGCTACGCCACTGGATCTAGAGCTTAAGTTCAAAACAAAATAGTTTGGTAGGTTTTTTTTAGCATTATCAAGTTGAAAAACAAATACACCAGTAGCCGTTGTAGATTGCAATACTTAATTTTAGTAGACATACAGTTTTTGTCGTAAATTAAACATCTGATTAATTGTCTTTCCATGTTTTTCACCCTCTCCTAAACGATTCATATATAACAATTTTAGACTGGATTCTATAACGTTTATAACCTTTTATTTTTCAAAACAAAAACGTTACATAATTACACAATATAGACATTTTACAATTAGAAATAAAGACAGTCAAGCTTAAAAAAGGTAAGTTCCGTTCTGGAACTCACATTGGGAGGTCTGCAGAGAGTCCAAAGCGGAGGGGGTGGGGCACTTAAAATTATCTAAAGGGAGGGGGGTCTATGTCGTAAAGCACAACATAGACTCGTGGACTTAGCAACAATTTCAATAAAATGGATTATGCTTGTTAACTGGAATTGAAGAATTTAGTTCAAGCTTTTGAGACGCACGACGAGGCAAGTAAAATTTTATTTTGATGTCTACTTATAACGTGTATGCGGCTGATAATAAATAAATATGTCACTTTTAATTATTTTCTTATACATATGTTTTAGTAATTAATTTTTGTGAAAGGGGGCGTTTTAATAAGTTTTTCCTAGGGCACTAAATAACCTGGCGCTGGCCCTGGATAGCATATAGTATAGACAGTTGGATAGAAGTAGTAGTAGTAGACAGCACATGGTATAGATTAGTTAGTTAGAAGTAGAATAGTTAATTTATGTAAATAAATAATATTATATCTTGGATCGGACTTGTGTGTGTGTGTTAATTCCAAACTATAATCAGGCTGGTATCATCTTCATCACCCCCACCCTCACATTTGGTGGTGCTGCTTTTCCCCACCCTCACAACTGGTGGTAGATCCTCTTCAAAAAATCCCCACCCTCACATTTGGTGGTGCTGCTTTTCCCCACCCTTACAACTGGCGGTAGATCATCTTCAAAAAATCCCGACCCTAACATTTGGTGGTTGCTGCTTTTCCCCACCCTCACAACTGGCGGTAGATCTCCATTTATCCCCACCCTCATGCTTTTCCCCACCCTCACAACTGGCGGTAGATCATCTTCAAAAAATCCCCACCCTCACATTTGGTGGTGCTGCTGTTCCCCACCCTCAAAAATCCCCACCCTCACATTTGGTGGTGCTTCTGTTCCCCACCCTCAAAAATCCCCACCCTCACAACTGGCGGTAGATCATCTTCAAAAAAATCCCCACCCTCACACGTGTACTCACCAGTCATACACACGAAGCCATGGCTCTCCTCACACGTCCTGTCCTCCCACGTGACTCCCGTCCCAGACCTGCGCCAGGCCAGGCAATGTTCACCCAGACTGGACAGCTGCAGGGTGCCGCTGGGGATCGACTGGTTGCCGGTCACCCACCGGAAATACCGGCTCAGCTGGAGGTCATTGGCCCCAATCCATACTGTTTTGAGGAGCAACAATTTACTTTTTTAGTGTTGATTGAAGCCCTCGTCATAGCTCTAACAATTAACAATTTACTTTGATAGTGTTCATTGAAACCCTCGTCATAGCTCTAACAATTAACAATTTACTTTGATAGTGTTCATTGAAACCCTCGTCATAGCTCTAACAATTAACAATTTACTTTTTTTAGTGTTGATTGAAACCCTCGTCATAGCTCTAACAATTAACAATTTACTTTGATAGTGTTCATTGAAACCCTCGTCATAGCTCTAACAATTAACAATTTACTTTTTTTAGTGTTGATTGAAACCCTCGTCATAGCTCTAACAATTAACAATATTACTAAAACACAGCCAAGGCCCAAAACTAAAAAAATATTGATAGGCCTATGTTGTAAGAAATCATATTTAGAGGTTTTACAATACCTTTATCTCTAAACAACATAAGTACATAAGTTGTTAAGACAAGACCAGTGTCGTTTCAAGTGTGAATAGAAAATGGCTTTGTCTTAAAGGTCAGATTATGCTTCTATATACTTATTTGTAAAGGTTAATTAAACCTACATTTTTAGTAGATGTCGTTAGTAAAACAACTTTGTAAAAGTGTTTTTCTTTCACGTCTTTTTACGTATAGTTCTCACAGGTTAGAGGTAATGTGTTTCAGTGACCACAGCTAATTAATGGATACGCAGTGTTTCTTTTAGACCTCTCTTGGGGGGTGGTGGTGGGGTGAATGGTGTGTGTGTGGGGGGGGGGCTAGACTGAAAGATATACTGGGGGTAAATTGATGAGCTGTATACCCAGTTGTCTGAACTATCTGAACTATCACACCATGATGTTTACAGTGAGATCCTATATACTCAAGTTAAACAAAGCTCTAAATTAACAAACACTGAATCGACGAGAGTCTCTGTCTACATCTTCTATTGTCCACCAACTTGACATGTTGGTAAACCAAAGCACTAACCGTAATCCGTTGTTTGCAGGTAGCTGTTCAGTTTAGCCTGAATTAGAGAGTTGTTGGGTTCAACTAGGTGTGAGTTGTGTTGTAAACACCATTCCTATCAAGTAAAACCAAAACACCGAATTAACTTAATTCAAGCATTGTTTTAATGATTATCATCATGTTACAGACTGTATTATTTCTGTGAATTGGATAGAATTTCTTCATAGGACTTCGCATGTGAATAAACAAAACTGTACACAAGATTTTTTTAATAATCATTTAACTTACAAAATAAATAAGCTCTCATACGCGCGTTAATGTATGTGTATGTATGTATGTGCAGAGGCGTAGCGAGGGGGGCGGGGGGTGCAGACCGCACTGGGTGACACCATTTAGGGGGATGACACCAAGGCAAAAAATAGCAGAGTATATGGAGAAAGTTTGGGGGAGGGGGGTGCAAATCGAAAGTTTGAGGGGGTGTAAATGGAAAGTTTGAGGGGGGGGGGGTGCAAATCAAAAATTTGAAAGTTTGTCCCCGGGAAGGGTCGCTACGCCTCTGGGGGGTGACACCATTAAGTGCCGCACCGGGTGACACCCAACCTCGCAACGCCACTGTGTATGTGTGTGTGTGTGTCTGGTTTGTACGTGAGCACTTTTTGCAAGGCTGATGATGTAACCACAACTCACCTGCGCATCAAACCACGTCAAGTTCGTGTTATTATACAGAAGACATTGGCCAGATACGTAGACACTTCCTGGAAGTGTTTCTTGACATGGGTTTGAGACCACTGGAAAAAGTAACATATTTTGACTGTCTGCTATTCAAAATATATATAATTCATATAGAAACTTTACCAAAACATTCCGCGTAAGTAAATTGTGCACCACTAAGCTAAACAAAAGCCTAAAAGACCATGTAAAGCGAGAAAAAACACTTTTAACCTATTTATTAATTTACATAAACTTGGAGTTAAATCTAAACCGTATTTTCCGCTGTTCTAGACTTTAAAAAACATTTAGTCGACTACTGCTCAAAAATGTATTCGAACATTTACTCTAATTAAGAGTAAATTAAACTTTATATTTACACTTCTACGTCAATCATATTTTTCTCAACTTTACCGATAGAGGTTCAACCATAAGCCTTACAAGTCAAACTTTGAACTTATTTGTCGAGCTTTGATTTTATGGAATTTAGAGATATCTACTAGATCTTCCAAGCCAAACCTAACCTTGACAATACCAACATAACCTGGACCTTAATAACATAACCTTGACCTTATCAACCTTACCTTGACAACCTAAAATTGACCTTACCAACATAATCTTGGCCTCACAAATCTAGCCTTGACCTTACCAACCTTATCTTGACCGTACCTACTTAGCCTTGAACTTACAAACCTCATTTTGACCGTACCTACCTAACCTTCACCCTAAGAACCTTAACTTCACCGTACCAACTTACCCTTGACTTTATTAACCTTACCTTGCCCGTGCCTACCTAACCTTGACCTCACCAGCCTAACCTTGAGCTCATCAACCTAACCTTGACATTACCAATCTTATCTTGACCTGACCAATCTAACCTTGACATCAGTAACCTAACTTTGACCTCAACAACCTAACCTTGACCTCAACAACCTAACCTTGACCTCACCGACCCAACCTAGACCCACCTCTCTGGCAGACGAAGCTCTTGTTGTTGACCCTGGGCTCGTCGTTCAGGAACCCGAAGTTCAACATCTCCAGGGCGCCCTCCGTCCCCAGGTTGTTGTCTGGCATCTCAAATCCCCACCAGTTGGTCCGGATGGCCGTCTGGGTGCCGGCCCAGAGGAACTTGCCCTCCTCCTTCAGGTCACTTCCTCCCACCCATACTGGAGGAGGGGTTAGAGAGTTAATAGAGAAATAATTAAGCCACGGCCAAACCCACACTAGAGGAGAAGGTAGATAATTAATAGAGAAATAATTAAGCCATACCCCACCCATACTGGAGGAGAGGTTAAATAGTTACTAGAGAAATAATTAAGCCATACCCCGCCTGACATTATAGGAGCCGTTAGATAATTAATAGAGAAATAATTAAGCCACGACCCCACCCATACTGGAGGAGAGGTTACATAGTTAATAGAAACATAATTAAGCCAAGATCCCACCCACACCGGTCGATAAGTAACTCTATGGGGTGGGCGATAATCGTGTCATATACATCAGTACAATACTAGACTTACTTGACCTCTGAGGGGAGGGGGGAATGGGGAATGGCTGGGGGGGGGGGGGGACAAGCGTTACAAATACAGTACAACAGTAGACTTACTTGAACTCTGTTCAAACTGTTATCAAACAACCCCCCCCCCCCCCCCCCCCGCCACGCCTCGCTGCACCTAATTAAAACATATTTCAACAGTTATAAGCCCCCACCATGTCCCCCCTTGTTAAAGCCATAAAAAAATTGTTATATAAAGCCCCTTACCCGACCCCCACCCCCACACTGTTGCAGGTATTTTTTTTTAATTCCCCCTCCCCGACATACACACTGTAAAATAAATTTAGACGGAAACAACATTCTAGCCTTTTTGTGTTAAGATTTCCTCAAACTAAAATAACGAAGATCTAACTGATGCATTGCAGATTAAAAAGTACCCTTTCGAACCTAACGGCTCATTGGGCTGGTGAAGTAGAGTTTCAATAAGAAGGGATAGTGTTGTCAGTGCTATGCCCAGCTTTTTTATTACTTTCCTTAACCTAAACCAGGTACCCATCAGAGCTGAGTGGACTCGGGAACATCCTGCAGTTGTACTCTCTAATAAACGTACACGCTGGTCGCTGTCCACTATGCATGAATACCGAGCCTTGTTATTCAAAGTTGTCGATTGTGGTTTAACTAAAGTCGCATCAAACTTACTGTATGAAGTATTTAACAGAGGAATAGATCGCAGGAAAGTATAGTCTCGATCAGTCAACAGCTCCATTAGTGTTCCGCCTCTTGCTTTACAGTATTGCTGCAAAAATAGATTTCATGTTTCAGTGAATAATTTCACAGGGGTTTCTTTCAGGCCCCTCTTTTGAAGGCACTACCAACTCCCCACCCCTCCCCCCACCTCTATTCCCACCCCTGAATACGTACAGCGACCCATAACGAAATAGAAAAATACATAAATGCATATCAAAAACTACTCTTTATCCAGTGTCATATTCGAACCCCACCCCTTCCTTCTCCCGAAAGATTAAAATCCCACCCCCACCCCCACCGATTGAAGAACCCTACCCCACGGAAACAAATGTTTAAATGAAACATAACTCACAATCATCAATCTGTTTATCCTCTGGTTTTAAATATTTTCTTGTACAATTGTTCAATCATTTTTAAATGTAAAAGAATCTCAAAGAACTAAAAAGAAACATTTAATTTCTTTTCATCTTGAACTCCATTCATGCAAAAAATAAGCATTGATGTACATAGAGTATTGTATTTGTTTGATGAATAAAATGGTCTTATCCCCTATATATTGACTGCTTTCAAGTGTTTTCAGTTAGACGAACAAAATTTCTTTCATTATAACCAATCGACAAACGAATCTTACTATTGTTAAAGTATATGTATTACTGTGTTATTACTTCCTTATAATTATGGTTTCTGTTTTTTTAAATTTTCCAACAAGCTTATTATTTCGCGTACTTTAAAATAGGGTTTCTTTCAGATATTCTACTCCGGCGTAGAGGGATGGAAACTTGAAATTTCCGGCAGGACACCAAAAAAAAATATTCGGAGAGGGCGGACAATGGTTGAAATATATATGTCTTATATAATTATGCATCTCTTTTGTCTTAGCGAAGAGAGGGTGGACATTATTAGATGGGGGGCGGGGGTAAGGGATCATTACCCCTCCCCATGTAGAGGTGCATAATGAAACTGCTATACAACCAGCATTTCGTTGCATGTTGCAGTTGTAGTTTTATTGCCAACTATTTGGTTAAATTTCATTTTGTTATAGAATTTTTTGCAGCGTGTTAAACTATTGTCGATTGGTAGATCTACACTTAAGTTAGGAGGCATGCTTTTACTGTTTGAAAACAGCTGTATGTATATTCTAGTGGGGCATATCATGTAAAGATCATCATCTTTTCCAGTTCGTGCCCAACACACATGGGGCAGATGAAGTGAAGTTAATCTGTTTCAGAGACCTCGGCATATGAAGAGACAGTGTGGTCAGCACAATGCCCAGCTGCCTCCGTTTTACTTAAAGTAAATTAGGTGCCCATCTGAGATGGGTTGACTCAGGGACATTCTACTGACTTGAACCCGGATTCGTACTCGAAACTTTCGGGTTATCAGTCTATCTCTCTACCGATAGACCACGTCGTCCCATCATGTAAAGATAATATACTATCATTTTCCATGCTGATACAACACAACTACATTATACTGTCGAATGATAACATGACACATGCACGTGAATATCCGGCTAGAAGAGGGATTTGTTGACCATCCAGGATATACACTGTACACACAGTGTGTAGTTAGACTAGACGAACCGTAAACACAAAACCAACCTACCAATGCTTCTGCCCACTGTGAAGTTGTATTCACAACAGTGTAACACTTGCCGTTGAAGATTATATAAGATAATGAGATACTGTGTGTAGTAAGACTAGACCAACGGTAAAAACAAAACCAACCTACCAATACATCTGACCATTGTAAAGTTGTATTCACAACTGTGTAACACTTACCGTTGAAGATTATACCAGATGATGAGATACCGTGTGTAGTTAGACTAAACCAACCATAAAACCAACCTACCAATGCATCTGCCCATTGTAAAGTTGTATTCACAACTGTGTAACACTTGCCGTTGAAGATGATACCAGATAATGAGATGCCATGTAGTTAGACTAAACCAACCATAAAACCAACCTACCAATGCATCTGCCCATTGTAAAGTTGTATTCACAACTGTGTAACACTTGCCGTTGACCATGAGACCAGATGAAGAGCTACAGCTGTTGTTGGCTGGAAATACAGGACAAGATTAGATCATATTGTTTAAGATACGTCAACATATGACATTAAACTTACACATAGAAGATGTCATTTCGCTATAAATAAAATATTACATTAAACTTACATATAAAACTGTCTTTTAAGATACGTACATTAAAAATGACAATAAACTCAGTGGCGTAGCGAGGTCGGGTGTCACCCGGTACGGCACTTAATGGTGTCACCCCTAGAGGCGTAGCGACCCTTCCAGTGGACAAACTTTCAAATTTTCCATTTGCACTCCCCCCTCAAGTTTTTCTCTATATATTTTGCTTTTTTTTGCCTTGGTGTCACCCCCCCCCCCTAAATGGTGTCACCCGGTGCGGTACGCACCCCCCCCCCCCCCTCGCTACGCCTCTGAAACTCACATATAAAACGTCGTTAAGTTATAAATAAAATATGACATTAAACTCCCATATATAACATGTTATTTAAGATACGTACAAAATATGACATTATACTCATATATAAAACATGTCATTTATGATACATACAAAATATGACATTATACTCATATATAAAACATGTCATTTATGATACTTACAAAATATGACATTAAATTCACATACAAAACGTGTCATTTAAGATTTATAAAAAAACTAACATTAAACTCACATATAAAACATATAATTTAAGATACAAACAAAATATAACATTAAACTTACATATAAAACATGTCATTTAAGATACATACAAAATGGGGCATTTAAAATTACCTACAAATAAGACACATACAAAACGTGAGATTTCTGTGACAAAAAACAATAACTTGAAAGTTTCATACAAAACGTAAGACTAATCAACTACATACAAAACGTAAGATTTATCAACTACATACAAAACGTAAGACTTATCAACTACATACAAAACGTAAGACTAATCAACTACATACAAAACGTAAGACTTATCAACTACATACAAAACGTAAGACTAATCAACTACATACAAAACGTAAGACTTATCAGCTACATACAAAACGTAAGACTTATCAGCTACATACAAAACGTAAGACTTATCGACTACATACAAAACGTAAGACTTATCAGCTACATACAAAACGTAAGACTTATCAGCTACATACAAAACGTAAGACTTATCGACTACATACAAAACGTAAGACTTATCGACTACATACAAAACGTAAGACTTATCAGCTACATACAAAACGTAAGACTTATCAGCTACATACAAAACGTAAGACTTATCAGCTACATACAAAACGTAAGACTTATCGACTACATACAAAACGTAAGACTTATCAGCTACATACAAAACGTAAGACTTATCAACTACATACAAAACGTAAGACTTATCAACTACATACAAAACGTAAGATTTATCAACTACATACAAAACGTAAGACTTATCAACTACATACAAAACGTAAGACTTATCAACTACATACAAAACGTAAGATTTATCAACTACATACAAAACGTAAGATTTATCAACTACATACAAAACGTAAGACTTATCAACTACATACAAAACGTAAGATTTATCAACTACATACAAAACGTAAGATTTATCAACTACATACAAAACGTAAGACTTATCAACTACATACAAAACGTAAGATTTATCAACTACATACAAAACGTAAGACTTATCAACTACATACAAAACGTAAGACTTATCAACTACATACAAAACGTAAGATTTATCAACTACATACAAAACGTAAGATTTATCAACTACATACAAAACGTAAGACTTATCAACTACATACAAAACGTAAGATTTATCAACTACATACAAAACGTAAGACTTATCAACTACATACAAAACGTAAGACTTATCAACTACATACAAAACGTAAGATTTATCAACTACATACAAAACGTAAGATTTATCAACTACATACAAAACGTAAGACTTATCAACTACATACAAAACGTAAGATTTATCAACTACATACAAAACGTAAGACTTATCAACTACATACAAAACGTAAGACTTATCAACTACATACAAAACGTAAGATTTATCAACTACATACAAAACGTAAGATTTATCAACTACATACAAAACGTAAGACTTATCAACTACATACAAAACGTAAGACTTATCAGCTACATACAAAACGTAAGACTTATCAACTACATACAAAACGTAAGACTTATCAACTACATACAAACCGTAAGACTTATCAACTACATACAAAACGTAAGACTTATCAGCTACATACAAAACGTAAGACTTATCAACTACATACAAAACGTAAGACTTATCAGCTACATACAAAACGTAAGACTAATCAGCTACATACAAAACGTAAGACTTATCAACTACATACAAAACGTAAGACTTATCGACTACATACAAAACGTAAGACTTATCAGCTACATACAAAACGTAAGACTAATCAGCTACATACAAAACGTAAGACTTATCAGCTACATACAAAACGTAAGACTTATCAACTACATACAAAACGTAAGACTTATCAGCTACATACAAAACGTAAGACTTATCAGCTACATACAAAACGTAAGACTTATCAGCTACATACAAAACGTAAGACTTATCAACTACATACAAAACGTAAGACTTATCAGCTACATACAAAACGTAAGACTTATCAGCTACATACAAAACGTAAGACTTATCAACTACATACAAAACGTAAGACTTATCAGCTACATACAAAACGTAAGACTTATCAACTACATACAAAACGTAAGACTTATCGACTACATACAAAACGTAAGACTTATCGACTACATACAAAACGTAAGACTAATCAACTACATACAAAACGTAAGACTTATCAGCTACATACAAAACGTAAGACTTATCAACTACATACAAAACGGTAGACTTATCAGCTACATACAAAACGTAGCGTTCGGGGACAAACTTTCATTTGGCGCCCCCCCCCCCCCCATATATTTATTTATATTTATAATTTAAAATAGCAGCTATAATTAGCTTATTTTGGCGCCCCTAGGGTCGGCGCCCGGTGACATATGTACCCCCCCCCCCCCCCCACCCCGTCGCTACGCCTCTGTTTCCTTTACTAACTTAAAAAAAAACCATCAGGAACGATGAAATCGTGATCCCTCTATGTGTATTTATGATTTAAACTTAAAATACAGATTTAATTGTTCAACGGTACAGCTAATTGCATAGAATATTTAACAATGTAGAACACAATAGAATGAACCCGGGAGAAATGTGAATTGTTTTATAAACAGTTTTGAAAGAAAGGGCTAATTATACATTTTGAGCTTCGTACAACCAGACGATTAGACGAACAATGCACACCGGATATCGATCAATGATCAGACTAGCTACCGAACACGCACACTGGGTATCGATTTAGTTATTTAAAACTACAACTATGTGTATGTCTATTGTCTTTCTCTGTTTGTTATATTAAAAGCTTTAAAAATATAAACTTAAATATAAAAAAAATAAATTGAACATTGAACAAAATAAAACCTTAGATGTAAAAAAATATAAAAAAATAAAAACAAACCAAAACACCATTCGTGTTATTTGCACAAACCCTGATGAGTTTCCGCTTATTCACATCCATGTTATATAAATTGGACGCCATCTTTATTAAGATCAGTGTTTCTTTCAAATATCTCATCACGGGGAGGGGGGGGGGCTTATCCCCTCACCCCGAAGCATGTCTACCGCCCGGTAGTTTAATCCGTTATACAATATACTGACAATCCCTAATGGGATCTGGTTTAGCGTTACCCATGTTATACAATACTCGCACGACCCCTAACTAGATCTGTATCGTTACATTCACGAGCATGTCACGCGCACTGACTCACGTGACTGGCATATAAAGGGCAGCAAGTCCCCGCACTGCCCATCGTTCAGGCATGCCCCGGTCTCTGCCCTCACGCAGTTCTCTGCCCCTCCAAAGTTGTTGGGCTCGTAGTAACACCAGATGTTCTGTGGGATGGGCACTTCCGGTGCCAGAGTCCAGTTGTAGGTGCCGGACGAGAACCGGCCACCAAGCCACGCTGCCAGAGAATTTAATTTAATCAAAATAAACTTAAACATTATACAATTAAGGAAATTCAGTTTAATCAAAATAAACTTAAATTGTAAATAATTAAGGTAATTCCATTCAATCCAAATAAACGTAAATATGAAACGATTAAGGGAATTCAATTTAATCAAAATAAACTAGAATAATTGAAAATTAAGAAAATTCAATAAGTATTAACGTAATTAATAAACACTTAAGAAAATTTAATTCAATCAGTGATAACTGCAATTTGTTTTTAAAACTAAGACAAATTTGAGTCTCCTTCTTCGTTGTTCATTGAGAGTCAATACTAACTTAGATAAAATATGACAAAAAGAATTCAGTTCAATCATATTAAACTAAATAAAATACAAGTAGGCCTACTTATGACAACTAAGGTTAAATGAGCTATTTTTGGGGTCTCATCATTCATAGGATTCTCGTTGTAGAAAAGATATGTGATTACAAAAAGAAAGCAATTATCTGTTTATATCTTGATAATAAAATACTAGTAAATGTAAAAATATTATTTGGCTAAAGAAACTGGTGAGCTCTTGTGTTAATGAGAAAGGATGTTTAGTTTGACTGATAAATTTAATGGTTAAATCTCTATGCAAAAAATAAACATTATTTTGTGACTTTACGTTGTTTCTTTTTTTAAAGCTTTTGTCAATAATGAGCTGTTGTCAATAATGAGAATACACACTAGGAAAATGTCCTACATAGACCCATGGACGAACTTAAGGAACTAACCTACACTAACCTTGTAGAAGAACTGAACTGAGGCGATCATACAGGTTCTCACACATCTCATATACACACAAATAAGTACTTCTTTTTCTTCTTCGTTCTTAATTTTAATTTTAGTGTTGGAAGGTATCCCCTCCAACACAATTAAGTATACGTATCAACTGGTTATGCACCATTGAGGCCAATGACTCCGATTTCAGCCTGCTTTTCTTTTTTGGATTTGCTTCCATAGCATATGCCCAAGCAAAAGGCAGCAGTTGTTTGCTTTTGGAGTTTTCTCTCCTAGAAGAGTGGCTGTTCCCAGCCAATGAGCCTCATCTGCCCGAGGGTTTAAACTCGAGACTTTTCGGTTTAGCAAACACGAGCTTTACCGACTCGACCACGCCGACCCCTACAAACTAACACAACTCACAGCACGAGGATCGAACATTGACAGGTCACATAGTACAAACACCTCCACCACCCCCCCCCCCCCCCCACCCCCGCCACCCACCCGTCACCCCTTCACTCAGAGACTATACTAAAAATAAGAACGAAGAAGAAGAAGATTCATACACTAGTTACCTGGCTGCCCATTGGTCACCACCAGATTTTTCACAACACTTTTTTCTTGTTCGGACAACATTTCAGCCAGAGAGCCACCAGATATAGCAACAGTACAGAAGTTCTGGAAATAAGTATCTGTGGTTGTTTAAACACGTTATACTCGGATATCTAAGCCCTAAACTGGAAAAAGTATCTGTGGTTGTTTAAACACGTTATACTCGGATATCTAAGCCCTAAACTGGAAAAAGTATCTGTGGTTGTTTAAACACGTTATACTCGGATATCTAAGCCCTAAACTGGAAAAAGTATCTGTGGTTGTTTAAACACGTTATACTCGGATATCTAAGCCCTAAACTGGAAAAAGTATCTGTGGTTGTTTAAACACGTTATACTCGGATATCTAAGCCCTAAACTGGAAAAAGTATCTGTGGTTGTTTAAACACGTTATACTCGGATATCTAAGCCCTAAACTGGAAAAAGTATCTGTGGTTGTTTAAACACGTTATACTCGGATATCTAAGCCCTAAACTGGAAAAAGTATCTGTGGTTGTTTAAACACGTTATACTCGGATATCTAAGCCCTAAACTGGAAAAAGTATCTGTGGTTGTTTAAACACGTTATACTCGGATATCTAAGCCCTAAACTGGAAAAAGTATCTGTGGTTGTTTAAACACGTTATACTCGGATATCTAAGCCCTAAACTGGAAAAAGTATCTGTGGTTGTTTAAACACGTTATACTCGGATATCTAAGCCCTAAACTGGAAAAAGTATCTGTGGTTGTTTAAACACGTTATACTCGGATATCTAAGCCCTAAACTGGAAAAAGTATCTGTGGTTGTTTAAAACACGTTATACTCGGATATCTAAGCCCTAAACTGGAAAAAGTATCTGTGATTGTTTAAACACGTTATACTCGGATATCTAAGCCCTAAACTGGAAAAAGTATCTGTGGTTGTTTAAAACACGTTATACTCGGATATCTAAGCCCTAAACTGGAAAAAGTATCTGTGGTTGTTTAAACACGTTATACTCGGATATCTAAGCCCTAAACTGGAAAAAGTATCTGTGGTTGTTTAAACACGTTATACTCGGATATCTAAGCCCTAAACTGGAAAAAGTATCTGTGGTTGTTTAAAACACGTTATACTCGGATATCTAAGCCCTAAACTGGAAAAGGTATCTGTGGTTGTTTAAACACGTTATACTCGGATATCTAAGCCCTAAACTGGAAAAAGTATCTGTGGTTGTTTAAAACACGTTATACTCGGATATCTAAGCCCTAAACTGGAAAAAGTATCTGTGGTTGTTTAAACACGTTATACTCGGATATCTAAGCCCTAAACTGGAAAAAGTATCTGTGGTTGTTTAAACACGTTATACTCGGATATCTAAGCCCTAAACTGGAAAAAGTATCTGTGGTTGTTTAAAACACGTTATACTCGGATATCTAAGCCCTAAACTGGAAAAGGTATCTGTGGTTGTTTAAACACGTTATACTCGGATATCTAAGCCCTAAACTGGAAAAAGTATCTGTGGTTGTTTAAAACACGTTATACTCGGATATCTAAGCCCTAAACTGGAAAAAGTATCTGTGGTTGTTTAAACACGTTATACTCGGATATCTAAGCCCTAAACTGGAAAAAGTATCTGTGGTTGTTTAAAACACGTTATACTCGGATATCTAAGCCCTAAACTGGAAAAAGTATCTGTGGTTGTTTAAAACACGTTATACTCGGATATCTAAGCCCTAAACTGGAAAAAGTATCTGTGGTTGTTTAATAAACGTTATACTCGGATATCTAAGCCCTAAACTGGAAAAAGTATCTGTGGTTGTTTAAAACACGTTATACTCGGATATCTAAGCCCTAAACTGGAAAAAGTATCTGTGGTTGTTTAAAACACGTTATACTCGGATATCTAAGCCCTAAACTGGAAAAAGTATCTGTGGTTGTTTAAACACGTTATACTCGGATATCTAAGCCCTAAACTGGAAAAAGTATCTGTGGTTGTTTAAAACACGTTATACTCGGATATCTAAGCCCTAAACTGGAAAAAGTATCTGTGGTTGTTTAAACACGTTATACTCGGATATCTAAGCCCTAAACTGGAAAAGGTATCTGTGGTTGTTTAAAACACGTTATACTCGGATATCTAAGCCCTAAACTGGAAAAAGTATCTGTGGTTGTTTAAACACGTTATACTCGGATATCTAAGCCCTAAACTGGAAAAGGTATCTGTGGTTGTTTAAAACACGTTATACTCAAAACTACTACATTAGCGTTCGCTTAAATATTATTTCTATTGTGTGATCAATTCATTTTGATTATGTACAGGTAAACGTATACACAATAACATTACACCTTTTATAACAGTGCACTTAAAAGAAAAAGAAAGAAAACGATTTTTTAAAATGTTAAATGTAACAATGTAGTCCCATTTAGAGTACTATAAAACAGCGTGAATTAGTCATCGTGTTTTAGTAATAGTGTTGAATTACCATAATTTATTTTTATGATTATTGAATTGTAGTGTATTGTTTTATATTTAATGAAAATCAATAAAGAAACGACATAACAATTTGACAACAACAAACTATGTCAGAAAATATTGCTTAATTTGGACCAAAAATTAGTCCATATATGCCAACTAGAAGTGCATGTTCTATGGAAAATACTGAAAGAAGAAAATAGAACCTGAGCAGAGTCCCAGTCTCTCAAATAGTTGAACAAACTAAAGCATTTCTCTCGTTCATAGACAGCATCTTTATACGGGAAACATGGATCTGTAGGGGTGTCTTGTCTGGAATCTAATCAAGGATATATATATATAAATAAATGTATATATATATATATATATATATATATATATATATATATATATATATATATATATATATATATATATATATACATATATATACATATATTTATGCTTAGGGGCCTATATATATATATATATATATATATATATATATATATATATATATATATATATATATATATATATATATATATATATATATATATATATATATATATATACATATATATATATATATATATATATATATATATATATATATATATATATATATACATATATATATATATATATATATATATGTGTGTGTGTGTATGTATATATATATATATAAGCATGCATTATATATATATATATATATATATATATATATATATATATATATATATATATATATATATTTATATATATATATATATATATATATTTGCGTGTGTGTGTGTGAGAGAGAGAGAGAGAGACGTGCGGGCATCAAATAGCGAAATACAGTTCCTTGGGTATATATACTTTGATTGTTTAATACAAGTTATAAACTTTTATGTTAGGCGTTTCTACAGAACTCCCTATACCCTATTGGCCAAAATCCTACCAGTGCTTCTATTATGTGAAACAGTGTTTCTCCCAGACTTTTTTCTCAGGGTGGGGGGGGCAGAGTTTCTTCTAGGCATCTCTTCGGGGGGGGGGGGGGCATTGCCCCTCCGAAAAATTTATACCACCCCCCCCCCCCCCGAACGAAATGAAATTTATATAATTTATATAGAAAATATATGCTTTTAACAGTGTCCGCCCCCCCCCCCCCCGAAGAAAGTCTACCGCGCCCCCCACCCCCCGAAAATTTCAAGTGCCCCCCCCCCCGGAGAAAAAAGTCTGGAAGAAACACTGGTGGGGGGACGGACTAAATTTTCGGGGGGACGGGGGACAATAGTAAAAGTATATATTTTCTATACATATTTCCGTTTCGTTCGGGGGGGGGGGGGGAGGCGGTAGACTCTTCGATAGCGGGGGGGGGGGGGGTTTCTCCGGTACCACTCCCCCCCCCCCTCCGCCCCAAGATATGCCTGGAAGAAACACTGGTGTGAAACGAACAACACATATCGCTGACGGTTGTACTCCATACTTATCTGGCACACAAAAGGCAACTGTTCTGTACACTTCCTGTCGGCCATCACCCCCTGTGACGAAATCGTGACGCAGTCTTGCCCCGCTATGTTATCTGGTTGGCCGACCGCCCACCAATCAGAGCGGAGGGTCACTCCTGACGTCAGCCATTTGAAGGCTCCAGGTGTTGTGGCGTCACTGGCACCCACCCACACATCTAGTCACAGACAGACAAAAACATTGTCAGGTTGATTGAAGGTTTACGGGGTTCGTCCATAAATGACGTCACACTCCAAGGGGGGGGGGGGGATGGATGGGGCATCTTGTCACACAAAGACACAAACACCATCAGGTAGATTAAAGGCAGTGGCGTAGGCAGGGGGGGGGGGTTAGGGGGGTCATAACCCCCCATAGACCCCTCGGTATATAGAAAAAGTATGAGGGGGTGCAAATCGAAAGTTTGTCCCCGGGTAAAAATTGGACCCCCCCCCATTGAGACGATCCTGGCTACGCCACTGATTGAAGGTTTACGGGGTTCGTCCATAATTGATGTCATACTCCAAAGGGGGGGGGGTGTTGTCACAGAAAGGCAAAAACATCGTCAGGTAGATTAAATGCTTAAGGGGTTCGTCCATAAATGACGTCACACTACAAGGGGAGTGTGGGAGGGGTGGGGTTGTCCGAAATTACAAGAAGGATTGGGGGGGGGGGGGTAGGGTTAGCATTAAAAAAAATAATGTAAGAAACTGAATTTTATTCGTGGTTTTGAGTTTTAGAAAACTGTTTTAGTAAACTGTGATGGAAAATTATTAAAATACTCTATGTTGAGCGAAATCAGTAAATTTGTTAGAAAAACAAATCGTTGTTTTAAAAACAAAATTCAAATGCAATTTTGAGTAGTGGTTGTAGGCTTAGAAGGATGTCATTTTAGGGGTGGGTGGCTTTTTGTGACGTTGTGTGACAGAGGGGAGGTAAAAATTATCCAAAAAAAACGTGACGCCATTTAAAGCGGATCCGTAACATCCCTTACAAATAAGTTTAACATACAACACACAAAAATTCAAATATCGTTAAACAGCGAAACAACAATTTCCGAGAATAAAAATAGAAAACTCAGAAACTGAATCGGTTGAGATCAATTATAAAGTTGTTTTTTTTTTTTTTTAAATTTAGAGTTTTATTAGAGTAATGGTATTTTCACACTGCGGTCGTTAAAGAAATACTTTCTTGTTTTCCCTTGTATAATGACATAACACACCGCAGGACGTTACAACCCCCCCCCCACACCCCCACCTCCCAAAATAGTAACCCTAAACAAAACCACTCTAATCTGTTTATATCAATGACGTACAGTTCACACCCTTTGACGTGATGAGACTTTGAAGTCCCACTCGATCTTCCTCTGTCAAAATCTCAATCAGTTTTCCGCCGTAAAGTCTTGTTTTACAGAACGCCTGCAGAAATGTTTGAAAAAAATTCACCACTTAATTAAAAAAATAATTTAGAACTGTAAATTCATAGAATTTATTATATAATATTTTCCTAAAGAGTATTGTTGTTAGGGAAACGACTGAGTGTATTACGAAAAAAAATGTAACAAAAGTCTGTCTCTGAAATAATACACTATAACTAATGTTTAAAATTGTATATATGTTAGTTTTAAATTCTTACCTTTTTCCATGTTTTTTTTTACTTTCTCGTATATACGAAGTATAGAGAAAGTCTTGTAATCGTGCAAAAAAAAATCGAGATTTTTACAAATCTCGACGTTTTACATCTCACTGTTACGGAAAAACATGATTTTGCAATCTTGTCCGTATGTCTGTGTGTCTGTCTGTGTGTCTGTCTGTCTGTGTGTGTGTAAACACGATAACTTGAGTACCGTTACAGCTAGGTTGATGAAATTTCATATATAAGTATTTTATCAAAATCGTAGATCAATATCAACTTTTGAGCGATTTCCGATAACCGGAAGTGGTACTTTTCCTACTTTGAAATTTTCAAAAGCCTATAACGTGAGTACTATTTCAGATAGATAAACGAAATTTCACATGTAAGTAAAAAATCTAATTCTCTACCTTCTGTTAAATTTTGAGTCATTTCCGTTGACTGGAAGTAGTAATTTACGCTACTTCTGATTTCTCAAAAAACTAATGTAAATTTTTAAAGTAGTAATAATATTGCGCACTATTATGCACTTTTTTATTTAGCGTTCACTTGGTGTGCAATTCTTTTGTCTACGAGTTTTTATTCTATTTTTAAAACTTTAAGTATTTAAAATGGATTAAAAATCATGTATATAGCCCGAGTTTCCATCTCCTGTTATTTTATATAAAATATTCTAGAAAGTTTAGGGGAGATCACTCCCGGTTTATTGTGCTAAGTTTTAGTGTTGAAATTTTTAAAAATAATCATGAATTATAGGGTATCAAAAATTATTATCTCACATATGAATATCATTAACTTTTTGGTCGTAGCTAGATATCACAAATCGTGAACTGAAATCAGTTCAAGGTTCCAGATATAAATATTTTAAAATCTTGAAGTACCTCAACCGTATCCTTACCTCTGCCTCCTGCCATTTAAACTGGACGTTGAAAACTTTGAGGCAGTAGCCGTTGACAAACGTGAAACCGTCAAAAAGTTGGCAGGCATCATCCGCTACAACAGCTGAAAACATCAGCAGTGCTGGAAGTAGAATTAGACGTGTAGACATTGGCTAGATCTGGAACTTGGTGCTTGGTGACCATTGAATCAGCAGCGGCTTAACTGACGACTATATGAGCTAAAATACTACTGAGTGTATATTCTAGGCTACCCTTCACCGGATAAGCTAGGCAACCATTGAAAATTTACGTTGGTTTCCGTTTACCATCTTAGCTAAGCTACCACTAAACATATGGTAAAAAAAACTTTGACAAAAAAAGCAAGGCTACCACTGACCATATGACTTAGGCTACCATTGACCAAATAACCTAGGCTACCATTGAGCAAATAACCTAGGCTACCATTGAGCAAATAACCTAGGCTACCATTGACCAAATAAAAAATAACCTAGGCTACAATTGACCAAATAACCTAGGCTACCACTGACCAAATGAGCTAGGCTACCACTGACCAAATAGGCTACCATTTACCGAAAACCTAGGCTACTACTTACCAAATAACCCAGGCTAAAACTAACCAAATAATATATGCTACCTCTAACCAATTAAGCAGGGCTACCACAGACAGTAGGCTTGTTTAATACTTACAAAATGAACTCGGCTAACATTTACAATACGCGGTTGTGCTACCAACATCATTACTTTTAATGCTATCACAACAATAATCGTTTGACCATCATAAAGAGAGTTTAACTACTGTTAACCAAACAAGTATTGCTACTACTATCAATAAGAAGCTAACCAATTAAAATAATAATTTGACTTTACCTGACAATGAGAGCTCAGCTGACTATACAAGATTTTAAATAGCGCTAAATACTAGCATTCATAAAAAATGATTTAACTAGAAATTACTTCGTACAACTAATTTTTAAAAAAATTTCAACTAATAAAAAAAAGAAAAAAAAACATTGTTGTACTATAAGTTATTACAAAACTAATTTTTAAAACAACATTGGTATAATGTCATGTGTTTAATGTATAAGTTTGTTTTAAAGTGTAGATAAACACTTACTTACCTAGGTAAATAGTACAACAAAGCAGTTCTTTATCTGATCCTTTAATAACCATTTTAGTAACATAAGAATAGAACATCCCACCGATCAACACTCCATTCAGGTGAACATTTTGGGAAAATCGGCATAAATCAGATTAAGTGTATGCACTTTTTAAATAAAATATATATTTTATTGATTTTTAACTACTATGACATATTAAGCATAAAGGGAGATCATTCTTGCTAACACTCCAACCGATGGAATGTAATTTAAATATTGATCTCCTCTAATGAACAAAACAGCAAATATGTTCGTTTATTCTAGTCCAACTGTTACATAGATCACAAGAACACAAATTTATTAAACATTTTTCCTTAACAGATTCAGTACAATATTTTTTTACACTTTATTCAAGCCCTTTGAACAGAAATTATTTTTTTTTAAAAAAAGGCATTTTTTTTTTCCTTCGACAATGTCTCTAAGAAAGTCCTGATCAATGTTAGTGTTTGCTTGGATGAAATATTTCTCCGTGTGCATGCCCAGTGAGAGCACGTTCGTGGTCCGTTTTCTCGATTTGTTCTGTATCGTTGATAAACAATTTACCGTGGTCCAGACTTTTAATAGTCTTCAACACAGGCTGGCATCGAATGCTGGGTTGAATTTCTAAGTTTGCTTTCAAAACACGAGAGATGAGTTTTGTCTTTGTGTGAAGGAGATGTTTGTCTTGGAATAGAAGAATCTACAGCAACGGTTAACTCAACGTCTAAATGCTATGAAAGCTTGAATATTCGCTTGGGTATATTTTTATAGTTTAAAATTTATGTTTCTTTTCATCTCAATGGAGAGCTAAATAGTTGAGTAATATATATATATATATATATATATATATATATATATATATATATATATATATATATATATATATATATATATACATATATATATATATATATATATTTACATTATATACATATATATTTATATTTATATTTATATATATATATATTATATACATATATTTATATATATATATTTATATATATATATATATATATATATATATATATATATATATATATATATATATATCATGTGCATCATGCACGGAGAATCAGGTGTACTACTCAAATCAACCGTCAAACTTCACCTCCGGCGCCCACGTAGTCATTGGTCTCGTAGCACCTCGGGCTTCACCAATAAGCGCTATAGCGCCTACATTCGTTTTGAAGAGCGCCCTACAATAGTGAAACGGTGCAGAGGCGTAGTAAGGGCGCGGCGGGGGATGCGGACCGCACCGGGCGACAACATTTAGGTTGTCGACACCACGGCAAAAAATTGCAAAATGTACAGAAGAAAAATGCTTTTAGCAAGTTCCATTAATGAATAATTAACGTTAAATAGTCTTTTAAGTACAAATCGACAGTTATTACAAAAGTGTGGAGAATGATACCATGACGTAAACGTTCTAACTATAGAGAAAACAATGCTACATCCAACTGTATTCTTGACTAAAGATAAAATTTAAAGCTTATACATACATGTATGCTTAAGTGGCATATATTTAAATTATAGGCCTATTTGGGCCGACACAAACACACACACACACACACACATATATATATATATATATATATATATATATATATATATATATATATATATATATATATATATATATATATATATATATATATATATATATACTTTGCTTCTTTGGGGAAGGGTGACACCCGACCTAGCGACGCCACTGATACGCTGAGCCACTAAAGACGATGACTAATTGGGTGCAGTACTTGACGCCCCTGCGTCAGTGTAACAAATGGCTACCCGTGACGCCCGTGACGCCTGAGCTGTTGACGAGAGATGTACTACCTCGCATTAGCTTAGGGCGATCAACGTAAGCTCAAGGTCTCTATTGAGTACGTTCTGGGCTTCTGCGCGGTATTGTGGACATACACACAGGACCTGGAAAATCCTGGAAAATCCCGGAAAATCCATGAAGTGTAGTATTGACATTGCTTTATCATGTTGAAAAACATTGAATCAATAGACTTTGAAATGTTTAGATACATTTTTACATAACAATGCATTGTTTTGATATTGAACAGCATATTGAATCAATACACTTTGAAATGTTTGTATGTTTTTTTTTAACATAAAGTTGCATTGAACACGCATATTGAGCCAAACGCTTTGAAATGCTGTTTTTTCTTTTTTTTTTTTTTTTTTTTTTTTTTTTTTTTTTTTTTTTTTAAATTAAAATAAATCATAAGTGTCTTTTCTGCTTAGATTGTAACAATGCTAAACGAATAAGTTAGTTATTTCATTATTCTCTATTCTGAAAATACTCTAATCTAATGCATACACTTATGAGCGAACGACTGACTCTCTGCCTGTCTGTCACTTTTCTAAATGGGTCATATTATACATTTGATTTATACATCCTGATCCAACCCCCCCCCCCCTCCCTCCCCTTCTCGTTCACTCGAATGAAAGCGCCACATAGGTTGTTATTGAACATACACCAGCTGCCGCTTGTTTGAAGCGATGATACACAACGTACGGTATTGTAAGGTGAAGGGATAGTTCAACAAAATGTGTGGTTTAGATTTTTAAAAATACGGTAGGTGTACGCATTAGCGAACCCAGTAGAGAAACACCTGGCGAGGCAGCCTTGACATAGTCGATACAACAGCGTTACATCTTTAAGATCAAATAGAACAATGAAAGAGAGTAGGATTTAATCGCTAAATAATGACTAGTTTTTATATACTCTAATATTGATTGGTTGTTTAGAGAACTAGAATTTTAAGCTTCAGTGTGTTGAAAATAGAGTTTTTCTATTTAGTGCGTCATTCTTTTATGACGTCTGCGTGCTCTTTGGAGAAGGGAGGGGGGGGGGGCTGAAAAAAATTCAACCTTTACGGACGCTGGGAGGGGGGGGGGGGTCCACACGTTTAATTGTACATTAAAACACTTACATAATACAGCAAACACAAAAATGTAACTAAATTCTAAAAGTAAGCTCTTCCTTTTTGTGAACTGTTTGTGTCTTAATAAAAAAAAAAATTCAAATTAGTAATTACATTATGATATCAGTATATGATGCGGTGTACTGATGCATAATACATGTTTTCCAACTCGCATGTTGGGAGTAAACTTTGAGGCGTCGTCATCAGTTGGAAGACTGTGTAGAAAGGGGTGTTTATCTAAAGTGGACTCAACAGAAAGAAGGGGGGGGGGGGGTGAGGAGGGATGCAAATTTTCGACATGCTTTTATAAACGGACGAACACCTTGTCAGTGTTTCTTCTTCACTTTTTATTTTTTCCGTGGGGGGGGGGGTAGGGGGGACTTGAAAGTTTCGGGGAGGAGCGGACTAAAATTTCAGGGGGCAGACACTGTTAAAAGTATATATGTTTTCTATATAAATTCCATTTTGTTCGAGGGGGGGAGCAGTTGACTTCCTTCTGGGGGGGGGGGGGGGGGGGCTTAGCCCACCCCCCCCCCTCCCCTGCGTTAAGAGATGCCTGGAAGAAGCTCTGCCCTTTGTTTAATATTTAATGGTGTAATAGAAATATAACAAATCTAGTCTGTCCGTGCATCTGTCTATACAGGTCAAAGAATTAGGCTTCTGTTTGTAGTTAGACATGTTTCCTGGCACACAGGAATTAATTGTTGTGTAGCCACAATCTTCGTTCAAAAGCCAAAGGTTATTTTGATGTGACTGAACAAAGTTACGTTCCACATCAATGATTGCTGTGATACGGTTGCTTATCAATAGTTTCAAGTCGGAGTGAATACAAAATGTGGATCGGGGATGGGGGGGGGGGGGTGGTGAGTGGCTTGGCTAATTTCGCATGATTTGTCAATTTTCGCATGCAAATACGCGTGTCTACAAAATGTATTGATAGAACAATGTGTTTTCATTATGCGAAACAAACTTACTGGAGTCGGATGTGTCTGCGCCGCATTGTGTTCAGTAAATTAGATTTCAAAATTAAGAGGATGTTTTCAAATTTTTATTTGTTATTTTTTTTTAAGAAAATGAACTTCGGACAGATTTTCACCCTCCTGACGATGTGTATAGTAGGCTGTGTTTTTTACTATGCAATGTTTTATCTAGATTTGACTACACCTTCATCAAAATCTCTTATCTGGACTAACGCCATTTTTCAGCGACCGGCGTCAAGGATTGATGATGTGGGACAGGCGTGTATCCCACCCCCGTTAAGGGTGGACGACCCTGTCATGATGTCTTATGTAAAAACACTTCCGCCCATTGTGTGTGAGGGGGAGAGAGATTGGGTGTTCGTCGATAATGGTACCTTAAGGTTCACCAAACACGCCAAGGAGACGTACGGAAACTTCAGCTGCAAGTTTTACAACTTGGTGCGCATTCACGAAAAAAATGTTACGTGGGGAGCTGTTTACGCGAACGTTCAAGAAGGCTACAGAATTCCTGGAGATTTCTTTAAAGTCGAATGCAAGTCAGCTAAGGGGGATAATTCCAGTGTAGAAATTCACGCAGGAGTTGCATACACTCACGATCGAGCTAGCAGACCGGAAGTGGATTTAACCCAAGGCCTTGAAGGGCTGAGTATTGCTATTATTGGGTTCGACTCACTCTCAAGGTTGTCGTGGATGCGCCGCTTGCCGAAAACACGGGAGTATTTTCTGGGGCTGGGCGCCATAGAACTGGAGGCGTATAATGTAGTAGGGGACGGGACCACGGCCGCTATGTTTCCTATGCTGTCTGGCAAGTTTGAGTGGGAACTCCCCAAATGTGGGTAAGTTGAGATTGATGTATGTGATCTTGTTCTGTAAATCGTAATGTTTTTTCATGTATGTGACCTGCTTAACCAATTATATTAACTCGTGACATATAGGCTACCGACAAATGGGCTCCCGATATTTAGGCTCCCGACAAATGGACTCCCGACATATTAGCTCCCGACAGATAGGCTCAGGACATATTGGCTCCCGACAAAAGCGGCTCCCGACAATTGGGTTCCCGACATATTGGCTTCCGACAAAATGACTCCAGACATTTAGGATCCAGACAAATGAATGGCATGACCACTATTGGCATAAAAGTAACCATTTTGTACTACATCCAATACCACTATAACCTATTTTAAATGCCTGAATGAAATTGATTTTCATAAACCAACATCAATTCATAAATTAATTGAGCCGTAAACAGCTAAATTTCACCAATTCTTAAGTTTTGATGTGTTTTTTTTTACAACAGTAAAGGTCTGATGCTTAACAGCGAGCACAGAAGGGTTAATGTATGATATACATGAAGTTTACAGGATAACGGCCAGTGTTTCTTCCAGACTTTTTTCTCCGGGGGGGGGGGGGGCACTTTCGGGCAAATTTTCGGGGGGGGGGATAGACTTTTTTCGGGCGGGCGGACACTGTTAAAAGTATATATTTTCTATATAAATTTCATTACCTTCGGGGGGGGGGGGAAAGGCGGTAAAATTTCTTCGGGGGGGGGGGGGGTGTAATCCCCCCCCCCCCCGAAGAGATGCCCGGAAGAAACTCTGATAACGGCATTTTGTTTTGATAACCTACAAGCATACTGCAGATAGGAATATACAGCGTGGACCCCTCTCCCCACACACTGAGTTGGAACAGGCTATAACCGACTCATTTATGGAAGTCATAGATACTATTTCTTATAATAGATAAACTAATATAAAAATAAGGCCTGTTGAGTGTTGAATAAGCTAAAACTAAAGAATATTGATGAAGGGGTCCCAATGGCAGGTGTCATATTCAATGAGACCGTTTTTCTGGAAGACTTGGGCCGTTTTGTCGATAAACTAAATGGCGGGAGCCTAATTGACGGGAGCCTGTTCGTCAAGAGTCTTATTGACCCGAGCCCTTTTGTCGGGAGCCTATACAACGGGAGCCTATTTGTCGGTACCCGAAATGACGGGAGCCTATTTGTCGGGAGCCTATATCACGGGGTCCATATGTCGCTGGCCCTTTTGTCAGGGTCCTATTGACGGGGCCGTTTTGCCATTGGCCGTTTTGAGGCCGCGCGCTTTATTATACATAGTGAAAGTTAAAGAAATAGACCGTTCTGTGATTCTTCCAGGCATCTCTTCGGGAAAGCGTAGGCAAGAGGGGGGGTTGGGGATTTATAACCCCTCTCATATATATATATATATATATATATATATATATATATATATATATATATATATATATATATATATTTTTTTTATATTTATATTTATATATATGTGTGTGTGTGTGTGAGAGTGTGAGTGTGTGTGAGTGTGTCTGTGGCTGTATGTGTGTGTGTCTGTCTGTATATGTGTGTGTCTGTGTGTCTGTATATGTGTGTGTGAAGTTTTTATAGATGGAAAAAAAATTTTGAACCCCTCCCATGACAAATTTCTGGCTACGCCACTGCCTTGTCTTTAACCACACTGTTGTTTTCTGACAAAATCCGTGTGTCTTAACGTCCACTGTAGCTGTAATTTTTAAAAAATTTAAACACCACCTGTGTTATTAACTAATTACTTTTTCCATAAACCTCAGCGCAGCTACCCTTGTCCATTTCAGCTTGAACAAAAAAGACGCCATTCCTATGGACGAGTTCCCCTTTATCTGGCACGAGATGCAGAAAGCTGGGTACCTGACGTCATGGTCAAACGGCCTGTCCGGCGCCTTCAACTGGAGGTTTCTGGGCTTCAACCAGCAACCCACAGACTTCTACACCCGTCCTTACTTCTACGCCGTTCGCCCTGGGAGAACATTTAAACGTCCGTGTATTGGGGAGAAGAGAACGAGTCAAGTGTGGCTAGAATTCTTTCGGGATATTTTCCTAATGTACCCGAAAAGGAGGAAGTTTCTGTTTCATTTCTACTCGGAAATGACGCACGAGGACAATAATCCAATAACTAGGGTAGGTATGGGGTGGCGGTGAAATATCGTACCTTGGGATTTTATATACTTTATGACACTGTTCAAATATACTTTGATTCTTTCTGCCCGTTGTATTTCCGGACCTGGTGGTCCGTCGGTATCTATATATAATTATCTTCTTGGAGACCATAGAAAACACCAAGCTGTAAGCGCGCTCCCTACCACCCCCCTCCCTACATGGTCTGGTGAGCTGTGGTTCACGCTAAATGTTTACAACCGTAGAGCCGGGTTTAGTGACGGCTATTAGGGGCAGATAATTTATTTTGAAACGATTTTAAACTTATGGGAGGTAACTAAGAGGAGGCTGCTTTCACAGGGGGGGGGGGGGTAGGGGTTGGGTAAAGAAGTGGGGGGGGGGGCGGGGTTATCGTCCTTAAAGAGCTACTGATAGTGTTTTAAAGCAAATATATTCAGTGGCAGCATTAGTACAGTCGAATTCACAAATTATGAATTACTGAAAAGTAGAAAATAAAACAACAAAATAGCGCCGTATGATACGCCGCGGGCCGGCTCGTATTTTTTAAAGTTTTAAGATGCTTTCTCGCACTTAAAGCCTTTATCTGTTGTGCTTTGTGATGGATCGAAACTGGCGAACAAAATTTTGACCACTCCTAACTGACCTATTTATTTCAAACTTGGAAAGTGGAAAATGTTACTTTATATATGAAATTTATATTATTAAAAAATTATCTAAATAATCAATTAAGTCAAATGTGCTGTCATCGCATCTTGAATCAATATATATGTATCAGGGACGGAGTGGTCGAATGTCAGAGCTAACGACTGCTAGCCCTGAAGTTTCGAGTTCGGCTCTTTCGTTGCAGCCTGTAAGTTTTCTCAGAGTCAAACCAGCTGCAATAGGTACCTGAATCACTTTCGGGAAACTAAAGATGCTGGGCATATTGCTGACCAAAGTATGCCAAAGTAATTGAAATATATGAACTCTACTTCGTCTACTTAATATGTCTTTGGCACGAATGGGAAAAGATGGTAAATGATATGATAAAAATTCTAGTAACTACTAGATTCTGCCTACTAATTTCTAATATTTCTTCTTAAAGATTGACGGGGAACTAAAAGAGAGCATCGAGTTTTTGTACAAGGGAGGCTATCTGGAAAACACAGTACTGATACTCATGGGAGACCATGGTGCTAGGTATGGTAAGATGAGGTCCACCTTGCAAGGAAAACTAGAAGAAAAACTGCCCTACTTCTCGTTCTTGTTTCCGAAATGGTTTGGAACGAAATACCCTCAGGCTTTGAAGAATCTTAGAACAAACGTGAATCGATTGACAACCCCTTTTGATATACATGAAACTTTCAAAGATTTTTTGAAATTTGGAGGGACAGGGATGGGGAATGTTTCGGAGAGGGGTATCAGTTTATTTAAGGAGATACCGCGGGAAAGAACGTGCGCGCATGCGCAGATAACATCACACTGGTGCGCGTGCTTACCATGGAAGAATGTCTCTGCCGATGACGCCGATGTGAAAGAAGCTTTGAAGTGTGTTTTGGAGACCATCAACAATTACACATCGGCGTATAGATCAGACTGTGAAGAGCTGTCGCTAGAGAGCGTCACCCAATCTTTGAAGCTGGAGAATCAACCTTCCCGGGAGAGGCCGGGACGGACGGACTTGACCCTGTACCAGCTGACCTTGTACACCACCCCGGGTCAAGGTCATTTCGAGGTCACGGTGACCTACGACCAGGCTCTGGGCCAAATGAGTACAGGTGGAAAAGAGATCAGCCGAATCAACAAGTACGGTGATGATTCTGCCTGCATCTTAAAAAAGGATACCCAAATTAAACAGTATTGTTACTGTAGAAAAAGAAAAAAGAATTAATAGTTTGCTGTAATTTAATCAATGTATTTTTTTGTATCAGATAGTGCCTTAATAGTTAAACTAAAATATTGCCTTCATTAACTTATAAGTTTTTGAATAAAAAAGTATGTAGCTGTTTGACATGTGTTATGTAAGGTATTGTGTGAGAAAGTTATTTAAGAAACAAGTCGTATTATTACATACTAGCGTGCCCGTCCTAGCGCGTTGCCGCGGTTTCAGAAGAAATTCTGACGAAATAGTTTTAAGAGGGTTTCATCAATGCGTCACCAATACTATATTCTTAGACGTGTGACCATGTTTTCTAAATGTAAACTAATACCTGCGCTATATTTCTTGGATGATATTTGTCAGGGCACTGGTTTGCCAACACTACCTTCTGAAAACCTTGAGTGCATTTTAATCACTCTCATAAATAATGAGGAAGAACACACTTCGACGATCGCATACGTTTAAGGGACGTAGCGGGTTGTTCTCGAGAGCTCCTGGTTATACTACCGCTTGGGCGCCATTTGCTCAGTATAATCATTAAATGTCGTGTGCCATCATATTAATTTTGTTGGGTGCTCTTTGTAGAGAACGACCATAATACACCATCTTATCCATAGTCTATCCAACTGTTTAAAACGACGATGGCGCCATAGCGCTTACGGGATAACCCGGGGCGCAAAATCGTAACCCATCGTATCCATAGCTTATCACACTCTTTAAAACGAACGTATGCACCGTAGCGCTCACATGATAGCCCAGCATGTCAAATCACACCCTCCCGGGGCGCAGGCAGACGTGCCGGATTCGATATAGTCAACGATTATTGTTGCCCATCGTGTCTTAAGTGCATAAACTTTTTTGAAAACGAACATAGGCGACACAGTGCTCACAAGGGTGCCGGGGCACCTAGGGTTACTCAAATACCGGGGCGCCGCCGGAGGTTACGCCTGTTGCTGTTTTAACGCTAAATATAGAAGTACCCTTTATCCGCTATACACGACGCCAAATGCAACGGGCACCACTCTTAAGGAAAAAATAATCCGCTGAAACCCTCTCGGAGGTATTCTCATCAACCCCCAAAAGTTTCATGGCACTCAGATGAACGCTGTCAAACCGCATCCGACTTTTATTTGTTATCGCACCCTCCTGGGGCGTCGCCCTTGCGGAATTCTTTTTTTTTTTTTTTTTTTTTTTTTTTTTTTTGCAGAAACTTCTCCAGAAATATTCTCACCAACTCGCAAAATTTTTATGGCGATCAGATGATTGCATACAGCACATACACACACTTTCATTTTTACTTTCATTTACTTTTATTTATTACTTTCTCCCATACGAAGTACAGAGGAAGTATTGTATCAAGGAAAAAGACGTTTTACACATCCCTCAGTCCGAAAAACTTAGTTTTGCTAAAAATAAAAGATTATAAATTTATTTTTAACTTGATTAGATGACTTATCAACTCTTAAAAAAATTAATTACGTTTTTCGTTATAAACGTTGTTTGCTGTTCATTTGGTGCACAATTCTTTTTTCTTCGAGATTCTTTGCTCTTTTTAAAATTAATTTTCAAAATATTATTAAAAATCAAGTCTATATCATTAGTTGTGTTATATCCGTAGTGCTATATAAGAATATTTGAGAAAGTTTAGAGATCACTCACGCTTTATTATAAATATAGACTACACATGATTTAAATTTAATCTTCTTTTTTCTTTGACATATAAAGTAGTGTTTGGATTTAACATTGTGACATTATTTTAAGCAAAGATACAAGGGGGTTGGGACAATTGGTGACGATACAATTAGTTAAAGGTTGCAAGACTGTCGCAGTTGTCAGCGATTATTTCGGGAAAAATGATTTATATCAGGGGAGGCTATTCGGCTTATTTAAATTTCAGAATTATCATGCTAGCTCCCCTTAACTATCATCTTAACGAACACCATGTTATTTGATATTGTATAATGAAAATAAAAATACACTCGTTGAATAATTGATTATTGTTAAAAAAATTAATTAATTAATTAATATACATTAGTTACTGCAATAATCATACCACTAGTTCGAAATTTTGAGTCGTTACTTCTAGGCCTGAACATTTTGGTAATTAAATTAAATCATTTGCACGCCAAATAAGGGTTCGCTTCGGTGGAGTCGGTAAAGCTCATGATTGTTAAATTGAAAATACTCGAGTTTGAACCCTCGGGCAGATGAAGCTCGTAGCTGTGAACAGCCACTCTTCTAGGAGAGACAACTCCAAAACAGGCTGAAAGCAAAGTCAATGGCTTCCAATACTAAATTTAAGAACGAAGAAGGACAAGACACAAACGAACATTAAAAATAACTAAAAAGTCAAAACATGTCATTTTGGGAAGAAAGTGTTTTTAATTTTTATTGAACATAAGTGCCACAACAAAAATCTTTCAGAGCTATAGTTGTTTATGAACATAGTAAATGGAAAACACTTTTTAAAATGGTTTTGCATACATTTTTAACAGGGCTTTTTTTTCTACAATGTGTTTTAAAAAATAACTTTCTGTATTGTAATACTAAGGCTTTATGAATCAAATTTAGAATTTTACTATAAAAGACAAGTCGTTGTTAATTTCTAAATATGTTGATTTTTTAATTTATTTTTTATCATTTTTAAATAATTAATTTTATTATCTACTATGAGGAATAAAGTATTTTCTTTTTAGATTTATTCGTTTTAATGATTTTTGTCGGCTTTAGATTTTTAATTTTTTTGTTATGTTAGGTTAAAAATTTTCAGCTTTAGATTTTGTCAGGTTTATGTATGTTAGCTTTAGATTTTGTCAGGTTTATGTATGTTAGCTTTAGATTTTGTCAGGTTTAGATATTTCAGGTTTAAATTAGTTAGCTTTAGATTTGTCAGGTTTAGATTTGTCAGCTTTAGATTTTGTCAGGTTTAAATTGTCAGCTTTAGATTTTGTCAAGTTTAGAAATGTCTGGTTTAAATATGTCAGCTTTAAATGTTATTAGGTATAGGATTATTGTGTTTGTTCTTCTTGCAGTGAGCACGTTTGTGTGTACTGGTATCCAGAGGCATTGGCTGAAAAAAATAGTAGTGTATACGGTTACGTTTTCATGTGACAATAAAAATATAGAAATAACATTTAGCCTATCTATTCTAAAAAATATATAAATTTAGGGTATTTAAAACACCCCCAAACAACTTTTAAAAAAGGAATATCAGCTCAATGTAAACTTTTCTACAATAGCAAGTGTGCAAGATTGTTAATTAAACCCATAATTCAGAAGCAAAGATGATTTTTTTACAATAATACTTAAAACAGTAAAAATGGTAACAGTCCTGATTAACATCTGTACATGAATCTATTTTTTTTTTTTTTACAAAAACAAGTATCTAAATAGAGAAATATAGTTTAAAGATCAATATTTAACTTTTTAAACCTTTTTTTATTTAATGTGTTTGACGCCATTATTTGCACACACACACACCACCCCCACCCTCTCCGTCCCCTGTCGTCACAAAAGTCAAAGACGGCCGCTATTCTTCCCACCCCCTCCCCCGACCTAGATCAATGTTACATTATTTATGAACGACACCAAAACCATAGTAATGAAGATGACTTAAAAATTAAGATTTTTAAGCTATTTAACTTGTATAGGGATGTAGCTGATAATTCTGGTTAATGACTTACTGTTGTCTCACAAGGTTTTAACCAATTTAACATGTATATCAATGTACTGATAAGTCTGTTAAGTAACTTACTGTTGTCTTAGAAGGTTTTAACCAATTCAACATGTATATGAATGTACTTATAAGTCTGTTAAGTAACTTACTGTTGTCTTAGAAGGTTTTAAGCAGTTTATTTTGTATATGAATGTAGCTAATGTCTGGTACGTTGCTAACCATAGTCCAGAGGCGTAGCGAAGGGGTGGGGGGCAGGGGGTACATATGTCCCCGACCCTAGGAGCGCCAAAATGGGGTGAAAAAAAAATTAAAATCTCATTTTAGCTGCAGTTTTGAATTATAATCTAAAAAAAATATATTGGGGGAGGGGTGCCAAATTGAAAGTTTGTCCCGGGCGCCGGGAGGGGTCGCTACGCCTCTTCTATAGTCTAAGAAGGTTTTAAGCAGTTTAACTAGTATATGAATGTAGCTGATAAGTCTGTTTGTAACTTACTGTTGAGTTAGAGACGGCAGTGACATCAGTGTCATCAGGGGTAGACTGGTGGAAAAAAATCAAACATGTTTGATTGTTTAAAAATATTTTGATTCAACAGTTCAAATCGTAGTTTAGAACACCAGGCGAATCCTGGGGTGGGTGGGGTACCTCCCATTCATTGATAAACAAAACTGTTTACCACTTCCGCTCATTCATATATCAAGAATTTTTTTTTTCTCTGAAGAAAAGAGCCACCCTCCCACCCCCACCCACCCCCACCCACCCCCCACACACATCCTACGATCCTATATACATTAAGTGTAGAAATACTGTCAATTTTATCTTGATACATACATTTCTTGTACACTTACAATGTCTAGACATAACCCTTCACCCTCCCAAACTTAAATTCCCCTTAGACTTATTTTGCATAAACATCACTAACCCCCCCCCCCCCCACACACACACACACATACATTTCTTGTGCACGTATCGTTTCTAGACATACCCAACCCACCCCCGACCGTCCCAAATGACAGTTCCACGTACACTTTCCATGTCTATTCATCCCCACCCACCCCCACCATCCCATTCATAAATTCCTCGTGCCTACCACGTCTAAAAACTTCCCAAGCCCGACCCCCTCCCCACACATAAATTCCTTCATACCGACCAAGACTATACATCTCCAACCCACCCCTCCCCCACACATAAATTCCCCATACCGACCAAATCTATACACCACCACACCCCCTCCCCCACTTATAAATTCCCCATACATCTACACACACCCCTCCCCCACACATAAATTCCCCATACCAACCAAGTCTATACATCTACACCCCCCCCCCACACATAAATTCCAAAGACCTACCAAATCTATACACCTCCATAACCCCCTCCCTCACTCATAAATTCCCCATACATCTACACACACCCCTTCCCCCACACATAAATTCCCAATACCGACCACGTCTATACATCCCCACACCCCAGCCCACACATACATCCCCCCCCCCACACCTACCTCATCCAACACAGGCGGTGGTGGGCCATCCGGGCCAAAAGGATCCTCAGCATTGTTTTCAGTTGCATTACAGTTGACAACATTGCAGTCTATGTCACTCGTCTCCAAGCAGAAAACCAAGAATACTTTTACTATACGTTTATGTTGTTTTAAATACAGAGTTATACACTTTTATGCACTATCCTTGGCGTGGCCTGGCGGTAGAGAACTAGACTGCTAACCCTAAAGTCTCTAGTTCAAATCAGTGGAACGTCGCTGAATCCACGCAGCTTCAGAGGCGTAGCGATGGGGGGACAGGGGGGACATATGTCCCCGGGCGCCGACCTTAAGGGGCGCCAAAATGGGTTGGAAAAAGTAATCGAAAGTTTGAAGGGGGGGGTGCAAATCGAAAGTTTGAGGGGGGAGGGGTGCAAATCGAAAGTTTGTCCCCGGGCGCCTGGAAGGGTCGCTACACCTCTGCCCAGCTCTGATGGGTACCTAACTTAAGACGGCTTGGCATAGTTCTGACCACATTATCCCTTCATATGCCGTGGTCAATGAATCAGATGAACTCTACTTCATCTTGCCCATGTGTCTTGGGCACGAAAAGACAAAGATACCTACAACGGAATGTCGCCAGGGGGGTGAAAAATAAAAATACAGTCTTACAATTGATGTCATTCTACAGAGATAAAAATTGAATAATTAATGACTTACCAATAGCGATCGCTTGACTAATTGGACGATTTGTAAACATGAAAAAGAAATAGTAACCATGGCTACTTAAGTGTATGTACAATGTAGTAAAGTGATTTAGTTAACTTAAAAGTACTGGATAGAGGGTGGGCCTACACATTGTATGGTTCAAATATTGAGAATAAACAATAACCCAAATACAAATATTATCAGCGGTGTGGTATAAATAAACAAACATAGGCTACATCAGAAGTAATAAAATATTATATATTTTATTCTTTAATAAGGTAGAGGGCCGTACTTAGCTTTATTTTCCATTTATTTATTTTATGTTTGTTTTTTTTCGATTTAGAAAAAATATTTTTTACATATATAATCATCTTTTTAACTAAATACCACAATCGTTTTAACGGTAAATTTACATTTTCATACATATTTTTTTGCATTTTAAAAAGGTAAATGTACCTGGACAAAAAATACAAATATACGGAAAAATGCCCTCAGTTAACATTCCTGTAGATTCTTAATTAATAATCCACTGCTTAATTAATCAACATAGGTGTGTATCATACATGGATTAGCTGTGGCTCCAGCCATCAACACACACAGTCCCAGAATCCAATGAACCATCATGGCTGCTGTCTTGTAATTTTAAACTTGACAAAACCTGTGAAAATATGCATTTGTGGACTTATTTCTTTACTTTGTGTAAATTCAACAAGCAATTATTAAAACGTATAAAACATCTAATAATGAGCGTACCTCAACTCTCTTCATATATTTCAGTTATCAACAAGCAATTATAAAATCGGAAATACGTATAAAACATCTAAATATAATTGTATTCTATTTAGCAGACATTAAATACATATCAGCAGTGTTGTTTTCTACATTATTTTTCATCCTAAAAATGTATTTGTTAAACAAACAAGGGAAATAATGTGAATGGATTATTACGTTTATAATAATCGATAGCGTCCCTTTTCAAAATAGTGTTATGGTAGACTATGCTTCAAATAATGATGAATTGCTTTTTAATTTTATTAAAACATTACGTTTATAAATTAACAATTATAAAAACTGTGTTTGCTAGTCTACTGTGTTTGTTAGTCTACTTTGTTTGCTATTCTACTGTGTTGGCTAGTCTACTGTGTATGCTAGTCTACTGTGTATGTTAGTCTACTGTGTATGCTATTCTACTTTACTGTGTTTGCTATTCTACTGTGTTTGCTAGTCTACTGTGTTTGCTAGTCTACTGGGTTTGCTAGTCTATTGTGTATGCTAGTCTACTGTGTTTGCTAGTCTACTGTGTTTGCTAGTCTACTGTGTTTGCTAGTCTACTGTGTTTGCTAGTCTACTGTGTTTGCTAGCCTACTGTGTTTGCTATTCTACTGTGTTTACTAGTCTACAATGTTTGCTAGTCTATTGTGTTTACTAGTCTACTGTGTTTGATATTCTACTGTGTTTTCTAGTCTACTGTGTATGCTAGTCTAAATTGTTTGCGAGTCTACTGTGTTTACTAGTCTACTGTGTTTGCTAGTCTACTTTACTGTTTATGCTAGTCTACTGTGTATACTAGTCTACTTTACTGTTTATGCTAGTCTACTGTGTGTGCTAGTCTACTGTGTTTGCTAGTCTATTTGCTAGTCTAATATGTTTGCTAGTCTAATGTGTTTGCTAGTCTACTGTGTTTGCTAGTCTACTGTGTTTGCTAGTCTAATATGTTTGCTAGTCTACTGTGTATGCTAGTTTACTGTGTATGCTAGTCTACTTTACTGTGTTTACTAGTCTACTGTGTTTGATATTCTACTGTGTTTTCTAGTCTACTGTGTATGCTAGTCTAAATTGTTTGCTAGTCTACTATGTTTGCTAGTCTACTTTACTGTGTTTGCTAGTCTACTGTGTTTGCTAGTCTACTATGTTTGCTAGTCTACTGTGTATGCTAGTCTACTGTGTATGCTAGTCTACTTTACTGTGTTTGCTAGTCTACTGTGTTTGCTAGTCTCCTGTGTTTTCTAGTCTAAATTGTTTGCTAGTCTAATATGTTTGCTAGTCCACTGTGTATGCTAGTTTACTGTGTATGCTAGTCTACTGTGTATGCTAATTTACTGTGTTTGCGTGTCTACTGTGTTTGCTATTCTACTGTGTATGCTAGTCTACTGTGTTTGCTAGTCTACTGTGTTTGCTAGTCTACTGTGTTTGCTATTCTACTGTGTTTGCTAGTCTACTGTGTTTGCTATTCTACTGTGTTTGCTAGTCTACTTTGTTTGCTAGTCTACTGTGTTTGCTAGTCTACTTTAATGTGTTTGCTAGTCTACTGTGTTTGCGAGTCTACTGTGTTTGCTAGTCTACTGTGTTTGCTAGTCTACTGTGTTTGCTAGTCTACCGTGTTTGCTGGTCTACTTTGTTTGCTATTCTACTGTGTTTGCTAATCTACTGTGTATGCTAGTCTACTTTACTGTTTTTGCTAGTCTACTGTGTTTGCTAGTCTACTGTCTTTGCTAGTCTACTTTGTTTGCTAGTCTACTTTGTTTGCTAGTCTACTGTGTTTGCTAGTCTACTGTGTTTGCTAGTCTACTGTGTTTGCTATTCTACTGTGTTGGCTAGTCTACTGTGTATGCTAGTCTACTGTGTTTGCTAGTCTACTGTGTTTGCTAGTCTACTGTGTTTACTATTCTACTGTGTTTGCTAGTCTACTTTACTGTTTTTGCTAGTCTACTGTGTTTGCTAGTCTACTGTGTTTGCTAGTCTACTGTGTTTGCTAGTCTACTTTAATGTGTTTGCTAGTCTACTGTATTTGCTAATCTACTGTGTTTGCTAGTCTACTGTGTGTGCTAGTCTATTGTGTATGCTAGTCTACTGTGTGTGCTAGTCTACTGTGTTTGCTAGTCTACTGTGTTTGCTAGTCTACTGTGTTTGCTAGTCTACTGTGTTTGCTAGTCTACTGTGTTTGCTAGTCTACTTTAATGTGTTTGCTAGTCTAATGTGTTTGCTAGTCTACTGTGTATGCTAGTATACTGTGTTTGCTAGTCTACTGTGTTTGCTATTCTACTGTGTTGGCTAGTCTACTGTGTATGCTAGTCTACTGTGTATGTTAGTCTACTGTGTATGCTATTCTACTTTACTGTGTTTGCTATTCTACTGTGTATGCTAGTCTACTTTACTGTGTTTGCTATTCTACTATGTTTGCTAGTCTACTGTGTTTGCTAGTCTAATGCGTATGCTAGTCTAATGTGTATGCTAGTCTACTGTGTTTGCTAGTCTACTGTGTTTGCTAGTCTACTGTGTTTGCTAGTCTACTGTGTTTGCTAGTCTACTTTAATGTGTTTGCTAGTCTACTGTGTTTTCTAGTATACTTTAATGTGTTTGCTAGTCTACTGTGTTTTCTAGTCTACTTTAATGTGTTTGCTAGTCTACTGTGTTTGCTAGTCTACTTTAATGTGTTTGCTAGTCTACTTTAATGTGTATGCTAGTCTACTGTGTTTGCTAGTCTACTTTAATGTGTTTGCTATTCTACTGTGTTTTCTAGTCTACTTTAATGTGTTTGCTAGTCTACTGTGTTTGCTAGTCTACTTAACTGTGTTTGCTAGTCTACTGTGTATGCTAGTCTACTGTGTGTGCTAGTCTACAGTGTTTGCTAGTCTACTGTGTTTGCTAGTCTACTGTGTTTGCTAGTCTACTGTGTTTGCTAGTCTACTGTGTTTGCTAGTCTAATGTGTATGCTAGTCTACTGTGTTTGCTAGTCTACTGTGTTTGCTAGTCTACTGTGTTTGCTAGTCTAATATGTTTGCTAGTCTACTGTGTTTGCTAGTCTACAGTGTTTGCTAGTCTACTGTGTTTGCTAGTCTACTGTGTTTGCTAGTCTACTTTACTGTGTATGCTAGTCTACTGTGTTTGCTAGTCTACTGTGTTTGCTAGTCTACTATGTTTGCTAGTCTACTGTGTATGCTAGTCTACTGTGTTTGCTAGTCTACTGTGTTTGCTAGTCTACTGTGTTTGCTAGTCTACTATGTTTGCTAGTCTACTGTGTATGCTAGTCTACTGTGTTTGCTAGTCTACTGTGTTTGCTAGTCTACTGTGTATGCTAGTCTACTGTGTTTGCTAGTCTACTTTACTGTGTTTGCTAGTCTACTGTGTTTGCTAATCTACTATGTTTGCTAGTCTACTGTGTTTGTTAGTCTACTCTACTGTGTTTGCTAGTCTACTGTGTTTACTAATCTACTGTGTTTGCTATTCTACTGTGTTTGCTATTCTACTGTGTTTGCTAGTCTACTGTGTATGCTAGTCTACTGTGTATGCTAGTCTACTGCGTTTGCTATTCTACTGTTTGTTATTTCTACTGTGTTTGCTAGTGTACTGTGTTTGCTAGTCTACTGTGTTTGCTATTCTTCTGTATTTGCTAGTCTACTTTACTGTGTTTGCTAGTCTACTGTGTATGCTAGTCTACTGTGTTTGCTAGTCTACTGTGTTTGCTAGTCTACTGTGTATGCTAGTTTACTGTGTTGTCTCGTCTACTTTACTGTGTGCTAGTCTAGTTTACTCTGTGTTATCAACTTCACTGTATTAACAAATTAGTAGTCTACTTTTCAATGTTTGCTAACCTACTTTTCAATCTTGATTAGTCAAATTTATTAACAAATTACATGTCTACTTAATTGCGTTCGCTAGTTTACATCAGAGGCGTCGCGAGGCGGGAGATGGGGGAGGTGCGGACCCCACCGGGCGGCACCATTTAGGGGGGCGAAACCAAGACATATATATATATACATATATATATATATATATATATATATATATATATATATATATATATATATATATATATATATATATATATATATATATATATATATATATATATATATATATATATATATATATATATATATATATATATATATATATATATATATATATATATATATATATATATATATATATATATATATATATATATATATATATATATATATATATATATATATAGTAGAAAATGCTTTTTGCTAGTTCAATTCAAAATTAGATTTAAAAAGTATTTTAAGTACAAATTTACGATCCCGACAAAATGGGCGGGGGGGAGGGTGGGGGGATGACCCAATGAGGTAAACATGCTAACTATAGAGAAAACACAATGCTACGTCCAGCCAGTGTTTCTTCCAGACTTTTTTCTCCGGGGGATGGGGGCACTTGAAATTTTGGGGGGGGGGGGGGGGGGCGGTAGACTTTCTTTGGGGGGCGGGGCGGACACTGTTAAAAGTATATATTTTCTATATAAATTATACAAATTTCATTTCGTATTTTCGGGGGAGGGTGGGGGGCGGGGGGTTGCCTGGAAGAAACTCTGCGTCCGGCCTTATTAATAACGGACTATGGATAATCATCGTTACTTTAAACTTTGCACACTTTTAAAACTATCCTCCTAGAATAGTGGAGGCGGGTTGACATTAACTGCTAAATTTACACTGGAAATAAAAGTTAAGTTGAATATTTTTTTCAATAACTAATAATCAATAAGTTGCCGTACCGGGTGACACCCGAACTAGCTACGCCACTGGTGTACTTTACTGTGTTTGCTGGTCTACTTAATTGTATTTGCTGTTCTACTTAACTATATTTGCTAGTCTACTTTATTGTGTTTGCTAGTCAAGTCCTATTGTGTGTATAAATCTTCTGTGCGCCGAATCCTCTCAAACCATTGCATGAAAACTGCGGTTTTTTTTTTACTGCCAGTGTTAGGCTAATGTCGATGTCAAGTGTTAGCTAAAAATGATTGCGACTACTTGAGCTCTCTAAGGTGTTAAGTCGTAAAATTGCCCCCTAACTTGCCCCTTATCTACATATATAAAAAGCAATGTCTGTCTGTCTGTCTGTCTGCTTGTTGTTTTGCTTGTCTTTTTTGCATTGCTACATCTTTCATCCGATTGCCATGAAACTTTGGGAAGCTGTTAAAAATATACCTGGTAAGGTATCTGCGAAAAAAAAATCAAATTCGCTGGGGTGGCGCCCCGGTTGGGCCCGATTCAATTCTTCTCTATATAGGGTATATACCAATAAAGTCGATTGTGGTTTGAACTAGTTCATCCGATCGCAATAAAACATCGGAGAGTAGATTAAAACACTCCAGGGGAGGTTTTTTTTAAAAAAAATCTTTTTTATTAATATCGCAAAGCACTTTGGCCATTAGATCGTTTAAAAAAAGACTAAATACTAAAGACACAATGGGTAAAAATAATCGTTGCCTATATCGAATTAGGCGCGTGCTTCCGCGCCCCGGCATGGGGCGATTTGGCGCCCCGAGTTCAACGGTTTCTTTAAAGTATGTCCTTTGTCGCTCTGTTATATTGTTTTAACAAATTAATGCGAATTTTAATTTTACACACATATTGAAAAAAATTGAATTTATATAGAAAAAAATGAACTTTTACCAGTGTCTGCCCCATCTTCCCAAGAAAATTAAGTCCATCCTCCCACCCCTCGAAAATTTCAAGCGCACCCCCTTCCTCCCCCCCCCCCCCCACCCCGGAGAAAAAAGTTACACAAAAACACTGATTCTGTGGTTGATCCCCACCCAAATAGTGTTAATAGCCAACTCGGAGTGACGTGTAACGAGTTTTTTTTTTTCTAAACACAGCGCGCGGTGTGGAGTTAATGACCTAGCACACCCAAACAAATTCCATTCAGCTTGTTTACTACATGAAACGAAAGTTTTCTTTTTTTCCTCCGTGTAAATATTTAATGTACAAGATACATGGCGTTGAGGGAGAAATACAACGGGCGCTGGGTTGATAGTTTCGTCTGTCTCTAAACCGAAACCAAAACCAAATTCTCAACTTCAAAACTAACCGGAAAACAAAAAATGTCATTGAATACGGATTTTTATCCAGAATCGTAATTTTAATCGGATATTTTTATAAGGTGTCGGACGTAGATATTTTGTTAGATAATTAATTAACTACATTGGTCTTCCATAAATGACCTCACCATTTTCGGGAGTGGTCGGAGTTTGGTAGACCGAGGGGTGCCGTCATCTAGGTGGGAGGGTCTGGCCTATTTATAACGGTGTGCAGGGGAGGACAATCTAGCCGGGCTAACGGGGAAAATCCCGATGGACCCCCCCCCCCCCCACAGAAAAAATCGGTAAACCCCAGGTTCTAACAGTGTTATTAGTGGGTTTTTTAATTGGTGGTTTTTTTTTCATTTTATCTTCTTCGTTCCTTTATACCAGTGGTCTCCAAACATTTCAGCCCGAGGGCCGCGTTAACAATCAAATATCGGTTCGGGGGCCAGAGTTTCTTCCAGGCATCTCTTTGGGGTAGCAGAGCCCCCCTTCCTTAAAGAACGTCTATTATCGCCCCCCCCCCACCCACAAGAAAATATAATTTATAGTGAAATATATACAAATTACAGGTGCCCCCCCCCCCCGGAGAAAAAGTCTGAGAGAAACACTTTGATGCAAATGTTTTAATATTAAGAAAGTCTTACTTAAGCAAAGACTTATTTTTAAAAAAAAAACCTATAAATGGTATTTGCACCCAAAGCTACATTTTCAAATTGTTTTGTATTTTCTGGGCAAAGTTCCTCAGCCACCTCCAACAGATTTATTTCCCATTGACAAATAGAACTCCGCGGGCCGGATTAGAGGACCTCGGGGGCCGGATCCGACCCGCGGGCCGTAGTTTGGCGACCCCTGCTTTATACCAAGACGAACAATGCAGGCTTCGATTGAGAGAAAATCCACAATGAAAAATTCAATTTGTGGTTAGGGGCCCTTTTAAAAATTCCACGGACCTATTGGGCACAGCCAGTCCACCCCTGCCTGTATGTGACGATGTGTGACGTTTTGTGACGATGTGTGACTTTGTGAAGATGTGTGACGTTTTGTGACGATGTGTGACGTTTAGCAAAGATGCGTGACGTTTAGTAAAGATGTGTGAATTTGTGAGGATGTGTGACTTTTTGTGACGATGTGTGACGGCGGGAAGAGGCAAGGAAAAAAAATCATTTTTAAAAAAGCATGAAATCATTAATGCATAACACTCTGGAGATCTCGACTGTTGTCTGTGAAGAAAAGAATCTTAAGTACAAGTGAAAACTTTCAAAAACGGCAACTTACCTTAAAGGAAAATCCTTGTATGCAAAGTATCTTTTCACGCGACCAAAGCTTTAGTAACCTACCTACTGTTAATCAACATAAACGTATGTCTACACCACGATTCTTACAATACTAACAACATGAATTTCTCACGATGTATTTAAGCGGTTCGAATATGACTAGCCCGTTTTGATGTGTATAAAAATAAAGAACAATTATATATTTGAAACCATGCGATTGATTTGATGTTGTTTTTGTCGTCTACGATTGTAGTTTTCTTTTGTTCTACACTTGATTTCTTCTAATCTGTTTGAAGATTGTAATCCCTCTATAGTTTGTTTTGCAATCTTCAAATGCATGGAAACAGTTTCAAGTTGTTTTGAAATCTTTAAATGCATGGAAACAGTTTCAAGTAAATCAGGAAGTTTTGCATATAGTTGTACACAGGTTGTGTAGCAGAAAGTGGGAGCAGGGGTGGGCTGGGCCACCGGGATATTATGACAATTACTGGCGGGCCGCAAGGATAAAATACCAATGGGCCGTCTGGATAAAATCACGATTGGCTGCCAAGATAAAATCCAAGTGGTGGATAAAATCCGGTTGGACCGCCAAGATAAAATCCAGGTGGACCGCCAAGATAAAATCCAAGTGGGGGATAAAATCCAGGTGGGCCGCATGTATAAAATCCAAGTGGGGATAAAATTTAGGTGGGCCGCATGTATAAAATCCAAGTGGGTGATAAAATTCAGGTGGGCGGCATGTATGAAATCCAAGTGGTGGATAAAATCCAGATGGGCCGCCATGATAAAATTCCGGTGGGCCGTCAAGATAAAATTCTGGTGGGCCGCTAGGATAAAATTCTGGTGGGCCGCTAGGATAAAATTACTGTAGGCCGCCGGGAACAGTGCTGTAATGGGCCTATTAGTGCTATAGTATTTAAAACATGTCTTAATTTGATATGTTATAATAGTGCATTTGTAAAGTGACTTCATGGGCATCGGTCTTAAGGCTTGGGTGAAGAATAATAAAGTATGACATTTTTTTATTTATTTCCCAGGCCACTTACCTATTTCCGAGGCCACTTTTATCTATCTCCCAGGCCACTTATCTATTTTCGAGGCCATTTTTATATATTTCCGAGGTAACTTTTATTTATTTCCCAGGCCACTTTTATGCCACTTTTTTCTATTTTCCAGGCCATTTTTCCCCCCACTTTTATCTATTACCAAGGCCACTTTTATCTATTTCCCAGGCCATTTTTAGCAACTTATCTATTTTCCAGGCCATTTTCGTGCCCTTTTTATGTATTTCCCAGGCAACTTATCTATTTCCCAGGTCACTTTATTTATTTATCAGGCCACTTATCTATTTCCCAGGCCACTTTATTTATTTATCAGGCCACTTATCTATTTCCTAGGCCACTGATCTATTTCCCTATCCACTTTTATTTTTCCCCACTTTTATTTATTTCCCAATCCGCTTGTTCACTGAGAGTCTAGCCCTTGACGAGATCTGTTTATCGCTTCCATGATATGTGTTTTGTGATAGACGGCTGTTGTTTCAAACAATGTACCATAACTGAGTCTTTGATTTAGTTTATTATGTTGTTTTTGTTTCTTAATGTTACATCCGTGATTGATTGTTTTGTTGGACACTAATGACATACGCAAGCTAAACATTGGGCTCTGTTTTGGACAATGTCATGCTTTGAAATTGATTAAAAATTCAGTTAAAACGAATTGATCTAAGATAAAGTGATCTTTTACAAATTATGTTAATTATCGGTATGTTGTATCAATCAATGTTGTCAGTCTGTGCGGGGGAGGTGTGGGTGTTGGTGTTGGGGGGATGTGTGGATGTCGGTATTGTGGGGAGGTGTGGGTGTTGGTGTTGGGGGGATGTGTGGATGTCGGTATTGTGGGGAGGTGTGGGTGTTGGTGTTGGGGGATATGTGTGGGTGTTGGTGTTGGGGAATGTATGGGTGTTGTTGTTGGGGGGATGTGTGGATATCGGTATTGTGGGGAGGTGTGGGTGTTGGTGTTGGGGGATATGTGTGGGTGTTGGTGTTGGGGAATGTATGTGTGTTGGTGTTGGGGGTGTGCGGGTGTGGGTTTTGATGTTGGGGGAAAAAGCGAGTGTAGTATTGGATGGATGTGCGGGTATTGGGGTTGGGGGTGTGTGGGTGTTGGTGAGGGGGGATGTGTGTGTTAGTGTTTGTGTTGGGGGGATGTGTGGGTGTTGGTGTTGGGGGATGTGTGTGTGTTAGTGTTTGTGTTGGGGGGATGTGTGGGTGTTGGTGTTGGGGGGATGTGCGGATGTTAGTGTTGGGGAGGATGTGTCGGTGTTGATGGAGGGGGGGGGTGAATTATTCTTTACTATTTTCCCCTTTATGTGTTATATATGTGCATGAGCAATCTATTATTTAAGAGCATCTTAATAATTGTTAATCGACGTATAAATAGAAAATGATAAACTTCTGTTCTAGAACACACTTCCCCCAGCTAAGCCATGGCGACTATGTCAGCCATTGATTTCAACAACAGCTGCGTTTATAGCCAGTACTTCTGGACGAGAACTACAAAGGAATGTGTTCGATGTTTACATCTGTTCGAAATGGGGTTGGGATCAAACAACAGACATCTAATACTGGTAGATGTATCAAAACACGAACATAAATACAATAATCTGAATCATGAGCTCGCTGGATATTTCCATAGGGGCTTACAGACATATTTATACACATCATAAATATATATATATATATATATATATATATATATATATATATATATATACATGTAAATAAATAAAAAAAGACATATCTTTTTATATATATATATATATATATATATATATATATATATATATATATATATATATATATATATATATATATATATATATATATATATTTACCGCCAAGTCAGAAACTTAATAAAAACATATCCACTTGAAAGAGAATTGTTTATTTATTATTTTTTTTTGCTAGGCATATTGAATATTTTATAATTAGACCTAGGCCTATGGCTATGGCTATGGCTATGGCTATGGCTATGGCTATGGCTATGGCTATGGCTATGGCTATGGCTATGGCTATGGCTATGGCTATGGCTATGGCTATGGCTATGGCTATGGCTATGGCTATGGCTATGGCTATGGCTATGGCTATGGCTATGGCTATGGCTATGGCTATGGCTATGGCTATGGCTATGGCTATGGCTATGGCTATGGCTATGGCTATGGCTATGGCTATGGCTATGGCTATGGCTATGGCTATGGCTATGGCTATGGCTATGGCTATGGCTATGGCTATGGCTATGGCTATGGCTATGGCTATGGCTATGGCTATGGCTATGGCTATGGCTATGGCTATGGCTATGGCTGTGGCTATGGCTGTGGCTATGGCTGTGGCTCTGGCTGTGGCTGTGGCTGTGGCTGTGGCTGTGGCTGTGGCTGTGGCTGTGGCTAGGGCTAGGGCTAGGGCTAGGGCTACGGCTAGGGCTACGGCTACGGCTACGACTACGGCTACGGCTACGGCTACGGCTACGGCTACGGCTACGGCTACGGCTAAGGTTCTGCTGTTTGTTTGTTAACAAACGCATGCGCAGCACCACCGAAAACATCGGTAGTTTATCTCCGTTGCGCATGCGGTTCTTTTTCCGGCTAGAATCGGCCTATTTTTTTACTCACCTATTTGATCTGAAACATTGTATATTCATATATATTGTAGGCCTATATATATTAATTTATATATATATATATATATATATATATATATATATATATATATATATATATATATATATATATATATATATGTTTTATATACATATTTATATAAAAATACAATGGAAACATTATATATTGTGTGTGTGAAACCTGGACCCTCTACCCCTTTCTTTTTTTCGTGTTAAACTGTGCAGAAGCCTGTGCAAACTGCATACAACGAACTCTTTAAAAAATTGTTTACTCATTTTTTTATTTTATTTTTTTGCCTGGCATTTTTGGGGGAACACATGGCGGCCACAGCTCACTGGATCGTCACACAGCACTGCTGTTATCTTGGCTGAATAACTGAACAGAAAATTTCATTTGTAATTTTATTTCATTTTGTATCATTAAATTCCAAGTAGAAACTAAAATTAGTAATATTAAGCTTGGGAGAAAAAAAAACATAAATAATCAACAAAATGAATCATTACGTGTTCGATACAATTTCCCGATATTAATTATTTGAGATATCTAATCTTAAGAAATGGCACGTTATCGAGTTTTAGATCCATCTTTACTATCGTCAGTTGGAGTCAGAACCTGCACAACAAAGACATTATTGGGGTAAATCCGTTTAAATTACGTGTAGGCCTACTTAAGATGCACACCTATAAAATACAACGTAATAAACACATAACGTTTGATTGTAATCTATCTCTGCTGGTGTCTTTACCATATCGTCTGCGTAAAGGTATGTTGTTGTTGTTGTTTTTTTTTACATTTGTAGAGTAAGTTTAACTTGAATGTTTGTAATCTGTACATTTTCATGGCGAGTTTAATGAAGAAAATGATTGATCCTTGAACAAATGCGACTTGACTTAAATTAAAACTAATTTCGTTATAGATCGCGTTTTATGTGTTATTAATTGTTAACTAGTGACTATGCTTCCATAGATGACGCCTCAGTTTTTGAAGAGATTTAACCCCCGCCTCTTTCTCCCCATCTTCACCCACATGTCTGATACGCGAACTACACTTCCGATTACGCAAGGAGTAATCGGAAATGTATTTAGCTTATAGGAGTGGCAGATACAGTGTGCTTAAAATCGTACTATTGTCGTTTTAATTTGTTGGCTGTTTCTCTAAAAACACGTGTATTGAATAAAGGTATGTTTTTAGCTAGGTAGAATTAATTAAACATTTTTGGTTATAAATATTACATATGTTTTTAGCAAGGTAGAATTAATTCAACTTTTCTGTAGGCCTATATAAATATTAGGCCTACATATGTTTTTAGCTAGGTAAAATTAATTTAACTTTTCTGTATATAAATATTAGGCCTACACATGTTTTAGCTAGGTAGAATTAATTCAACTTTTCTGAACATAATTAATCTTAGGCCTACATATGTTTTTAGCTAGGTAGAATTATTTCAACATTTCTGTATATAAATATTACATATTTTTTAGCAAGGTAGAATTAATTCAACTTTTCTGAATATAAATATTAGGCCTACATATGTTCTTAGCTATGTAGAATTAGTTCAACTTTTCTGTATATAAATATTACATACGTTTTAGCTAGATAGAATTAATTCAACTTTTCTGTATATAAATATTACTATGCTTTTAGCTAGATAGAATTAATTTCACTTTTCTGTTTATAAATATTCCATATGTTTTTTAAAAAAAATAACTTTAATAGCCTAAAACAATTTAAAAGAACCTAAGGATTCATTCACAATAAATCATGAAGTTTAGAATTACCTAGTTACAATTAGCAAGATTATGTAATTCTCTAGATCCTTTATATAGTTAAGTTTAAAGACTTCTTAAATTCAGAACTGGATAAATTGGCCTACCTATCTACAATTATACACACAAAAAATTGTATAATTTTTGTTGTTGCTTTCAGCTGCTTTTAAAAGTTAATGGTTTATCTCTGTACGAAAATTCGCATACAGCTGATTTCATAAAGAGTATAAATAGTGTTATCAAAGTGTCTAGCACCACGTCATTAAGGCTTAGTTCAAATCATTCATAAACTTGATATTACGAAATTGATATTCCATACTTATGAAAGATTTCAATTTACGATAAACTGTTTCACTTTAGACATTTTAGTACTCAAATTAAAGTATGCTTGGTGTTCAAAAATTATTATAATTAATTATGATGTGATTGTTTCACGGTAATTCCCAAATACAACATGTTTTGTCAAGTATAAATAGAATACACGCAAACGGGAAGTTGTTTTCTAGCCTATTAATGCGAGCATCTTGTTTCATGACCTATATATTTTTAAATAAAGAAAACCATCGGTAAAGGAGTTTAAAAAATAAAGCGCTGTTCTTTTAAGCCTCATTCAAATATCATAATTGTTTACTATATTGGCTTCATGCATTGTATCATCTAGACTAGATTATAAGCACTGGCCCCGGGATATTCTAAACGACGTTGAAGTGTAACTGATACATTCACGTTATGAAATCGATAAACCTTATAAGAATTCTTGTGGTATGTGAAAATTAGGGGTGGACTGGTTGTGTCCTAAAGGCAGAGGCGTAGCAAGGGCGGGGCGGGGGGTGCGGACCGCACCGGGTGACACCATTTGGGGGGGGGGGTGACACCAAGGTAAAAAAATTGCCAAATGTACAGACTATAGATAAACATCGTTAATATTAAGTCTGCAGTGTTTAAAGCTTACATATATATATATATATATATATATATATATATATATATATATATATATATATATATATATATATAGTTAGCACGTTTATGACACCCCCATCCTCTTGTAATAATTGTCGATTTTTACTTAAAAAGGCTATTTAACTTTAATTTAATCATTGATGGAACTAGCAAAAGACATTTTTAACTGCACAATTTGCAATTTAAATGCTGGTGTCAGCCCCCCCCCCCCTAAATAGTGTCAACCGGTGGGAACCGCACCCCCGCCCCGCCCTCGCTACGCCTCTGGGTATTGGTCATGTGGGTGTTCGATTGGGTGGGTTGTAACCTATCTGTCTCTCCCTTTACTACGCAAATTGTTCTATCTAGGTTTCCATTAATGCTGCCTAAAGTCAGCGATTTTTTAAACTGGTAGGTACACCTTCCAGTTAGCATAGCGACCTGTCACGCCGCCCGGTGCGAACTTTCTATTTGGCGCCCCCACCCCATATATATATATATATATATATATATATATATATATATATATATATATATATATATATATATATATATATATATATATATATATATATATATATATATAATCAGGGGCGTAGCGAGGGGGAGCGGGGGGTGCGGACCGCACCGGGTGACACCATTTAGGGGGGTGACACCAAGGCAAAAAATAGCACAATATATAGAGAAAAACTTGAGGGGAGGGTGTAAATCGAAAGTTTGAGTGGGGGGTGCAAATCGAAAACTTGAGGGGGGTGGGTGCAAATCGAAAACTTGAGGGGGGGGGGGTGCAAATCGAAAGTTTGAGGGGGGGGGGGGTGTAAATCGAAAACTTGAAAGTTTGTCCCAGGGAAGGGTCGCAACGCTTCTGGGGGGGTGACACCATTAAGTGCCGCACCGGGTGACACCCGACCTCGCTACGCCACTGGATATAATGTATATAGATATAGACAGATAGATAGATATATAGATGTATAGATATATATATATATTGGCGCCTTTTTCGGAGATTAATTAAATACAAGTTAAAACAAGTTCCGCAATACAAAAAACACCAAATAACAACAGCATACACATTACTGAATCTACGAATTAAAAATAGCCTACTTCTTGGCTTACTTTTTATCGGCGCCTAGCGAGGCGCCAGGCTTGTGCGAGACGCTTTTTTTGTCACAAGGTATGTCAATTTTGGCGCCTTTACATCTGCTGTTTGTGATATTCCATCTGGGTATAGACCCTCAACAACCAGGATCTATAAATCCAGAGTTTCTTCCAGGCATCTCTTCGGGGGGGGGCGAAGCCCCCCCGAAAAATTTTTACCGCCCCCCCGAACGAAATGAAATTTATATAATTTATATAGAAAATATATACTTTTAACAGTGTCCGCCCCCCCCGAAGAAAGTTTACCGCCCCCCCGAAGATTTCAAGTGCCCCCCCGGAGAAAAAAGTCTGGAAGAAACACTGTATAAATCTCAACCGGCTATCCCTTATTAATTCGTAAATCACAATTCTTATTTTTAAATTTTAGTATTGTTTTTTTTTTTTATGTAAACCAATGATACATTTCAGAATCTTTTTTATTTCTTTTCAGATGAAAGCAATTAGATCTATCTGCTTCGTTATGCTATACTTTGCCTTAGGTAAGGCTTGCTGCTAAAGGGATCATCAATAAAAGACATTACAAAAAGCCAGAAACCGCCCTCCATATTTAAATGACACCACGCCTGAGTCTTCAACCCCCCCCCCCCCCTCCCTCACAATTTCAGTTAGATTTTTTTTAAACATTGATTTTTTTTAAATATTGATTGAGCTCTGTCAACAAAGAGTATTTTAATCCTTTTTTATTTCAATTTATTAAAACCGTTTCTTAAGACGCGAAATAAAGGCTACCATTTTCTATTATTACTTTTTTTTAAATGCAAAAGTGTGACACCACATATCATACTTGACCTCGGCGTATGAAGGGATAGTGTGGTCAGCATCTTGCCCAGCGGCCTTTACTTGCCCAACATAAGAAAGGTACCTATCAGAGATGGGACGTCCTAACAAGCACGAGTCCGAATCGAGAACCGAACTTGATACTTTCGGGCTGACAGAAAACGCTCCACTATTCAACAACGCAATGTATGAAATAATAAATGTATTTAATGTAACAATTACAGAATACAATTATATTGAATTGTGAAATTTCCACATATCAAACTCAATAGTGGGCTCGAGTTAAAATGTTTGACTATACTTTAACTAAACGGAATTAATGAGAGACATAATTATAAAATTTAGCATTTTTTTAAAATTGAAATCTTGATATAGTAACATGTAAACTTTCACATAATGCATACTTTTGTTTTATCTCAGTCTGCAAAGGTGAAGAAGAGATATGCATGAAGAATGAACCTTGTACCATCACCCGTGTCATCCCATTCTATCAACCTGGAGTGTACCAATGTACCATCAATGATGAACTCACTTATGAAATCGATACGTACGACAATGTACCGGAAGTGATGATTGTAGACAGCCACAGCAAGTTCATTAATGTCACAACACAGACAATCAATGGGGACAACTTGAGAATTGTAGTTGTGGTAAAACTATACGACAACAAGCTGGAAGGGGAGTGGAAAATATTATTCGGAGATAAAATACGGATTAAGTTCAGAGTGATATTCACAGGTAATTATATGTTTCTAAGGATTGTACACACACACACACACACACACACACACACACACACACACACACACACACACACACACATATATATATATATATATATATATATATATATATATATATATATATATATATATATATATATATATATATATATATATATATATGTATGTATGTATATATATATATATATATATATATATATATATATATATATATATATATATATATATATATATATGTGTGTGTGTGTGTGTGTTTTGTGTGTGTGTGTTTTGTGTGTGTGTGTTTTGTGTGTGTGTGAATGAATAGAAGGTGAAGGTGTGACTATTTTTAATTTTTTTTTTAAAAGGTTTTCTTAGCATCATTATTTAATTAAAATAAACTTTAATATACAGTTCAAGATGTTTCAAATGTTTCAAATAAAGATTTTGCAAGTGTGAACAGAAATGTTTCAAAATTACGATATCTATTTCTTCAGATGACGCTAACCTACGAAGAACAGTGATTGCATATAAAGAATTTAACAAAAAACTAAACTTTCTACTTGATGGTCAAAGTTAGTATCAATGTTACCTTTTCGACTTCATAGTATTTGAGATCGGAAGAAATGTATACTTAAATAAATATTTATTGGGTTAAGTTAATGTGTGTACGCATATATAAATATAAATATAAGTTACACCTGTGTATATATATATGTATATATATATATATATATATATATATATATATATATATATATATATATATATATACATATATATATATATATTAGCGATTTCTTTTGTTGCAGAGACGCTTGAGGCTATGATTAATCGGACACTGGACGGTCTAGGTTTGTATACTTTTATACTTAAAATTGCCATATTTATATACGCATATAGACTCACACATATATATATATATATACATATATATATATATATATATATATATATATATATATATATATATATATATATATATATATATATATATATATATATATATATATATATATAAACAGTTTTATTTTTATTTTCTTCACTTATTATTTGATGTTTATTCGTTTGCTGAATATATAATTTGATTTATCAGAGAACGCTGAATATCTGATCAAAAAACAAGTCAAGAATAAGGAAACAGTAGGTCCCAGAAAAGCAGCTGTTAAAAATACTGATCGGGTACGTTTTTACTTTTATATATTTAGGTTCATTTTCAAATTACAAGTAGAAGTAGAGTTATGTTGTTAATTTTATTTACCCCAACATATAAATGAATTGTGTCGTCCGCTAATTCCAAGAGAATTAAGCCCGAGTTCTCAATTAGAGAGTTGGGATGCTGCTAAGTACTGTCTTACCCTATTGTTTTTTTTTCATGCCGGGCTTGTACTGTTGTTGGAAATGTCATAAAATGAAAGTCATGGAATCGATACCCAGACTTCCTTACTGTAACCTTCAATTGGGGTGGGGGATTAGTAAATACCTGAAAGGAACCCATGGCACTAGCTTCTGGTCATAATGGCGTTACGAATCATGCAGCTCTTCTTCATTTTCTAGTCTAACTGTGACAGATATTTGTTCTGGTCTGACTGTGACAGATATTTGTTCTACTCTGCTTGTGCCAGA